AAAAAAAAAAAAAAAAAAAAAAAAAAAAAAAAAAAAAAAAAAAATAAAAAAAAAAAAAAAAAAAAAAAAAAAAAAAATAAAAAAAAAAAAAAAAAAAAAAAAATAAAAAAAAAAAAAAAAAAAAAAATAAAAAAAAAAAAAAAAAAAAAAAAATAAAAAAAAAAAAAAAAAAAAAAAAAAATAAAAAAAAAAAAAAATAAAAAAAAAAAAAAAAAAAAAAAAATAAAAAAAAAAAAAAAAAAAAAAAAAAAAAAAAAAAAAAAATAAAAAAAAAAAAAAAAAAAAAAAAAAAATAAAAAAAAAAAAAAAAAAAAAAAAAATAAAAAAAAAAAAAAAAAAAAAAAAAAAAAAAAAAAAAAAAAAAAAAAAAAAAAAATAAAAAAAAAAAAAAAAAAAAAAAAAAAAATAAAAAAAAAAAAAAAAAAAAAAAAATAAAAAAAAAAAAAAAAAAAAAAAAAAAAAAAAAAAAAAAAAAAAAAAAAAAAAAAAAAAAAAAAAAAAAAAAAAAATAAAAAAAAAAAAAAAAAAAAAAAAAAAAAAAAAAAAAAAAAAAAAAAAAAATAAAAAAAAAAAAAAAAAAAAAAAAAAAAAAAAAAAAAAAAAAAAAAAAAAAAAAAAAAAAAAAAAAAAATAAAAAAAAAAAAAAAAAAAAAAAAAAAAAAAAAAAATAAAAAAAAAAAAAAAAAAAAAAAAAAATAAAAAAAAAAAAAAAAAAAAAAAAAAAAAAAAAAAAAAAAAAAAAAAAAAAAAAAAAAAAAAAAAAAAAAAAAAAAAAAAAAAAAATAAAAAAAAAAAAAAAAAAAAAAAAAATAAAAAAAAAAAAAAAAAAAAAAAAAAAAAAAAAAAAAAAAAAAAAAAAAAAAAAAAAAAAAAAAAAAAAAAAAAAAAAAAAAAAAAAAAAATAAAAAAAAAAAAAAAAAAAAAAAAAAAAAAAAAAATAAAAAAAAAAAAAAAAAAAAAAAAAAAAAAAAAAAAAAATAAAAAAAAAAAAAAAAAAAAAAAAAAAAAAAAAAAAAAAAAAAAAAAATAAAAAAAAAAAAAAAAAAAAAAAAAAAAAAAAAAAAAAAAAAAAAAAAAAAAAAAAAAAAAAAAAATAAAAAAAAAAAAAAAAAAAAAAAAAAAAAAAAAAAAAAAAAAAAAAAAAAAAAAAAAAAAAAAAATAAAAAAAAAAAAAAAAAAAAAAAAAAAAAAAAAAAAAAAAAAAAAAAAAAAAAAAAAAAAAAAAAAAAAAAAAAAAAAACTGCCACTGTACCAAAGACCAGAAACTTTTACTGTAGAAATATTGAGAAATATTGAGGTAAAGTAGCCATTTTGGTCCAAAATACCTCCAAAATAGTCAAAACATGTCACTTTTGATCTACTGTAACTTTTTACTGTAAAAAGGTGTGCGACTAATTTCACTGGATTCATGACCTCAAGATTGTCCTCTACCACTGTACCAAAGACCAGACACTTTTACTGTAGAAATATTGAGAAATATTGATTTAAAGTAGCCATTTTGGTCCAAAATAGCCTAAAAATTGTCAAAACATGTCACTTTTGATCTGCTGTAACTTATTACTGTAAAAAGGTGTGCGACTAATTTCACTGGATTCATGGCCTCAAGATTGTCCTCTACCACTGTACCAAAGACCAGACACTTTTACTGTAGAAATATTGAGAAATATTGATTTAAAGTAGCCATTTTGGTCCAAAATAGCCTAAAAATTGTCAAAACATGTCACTTTTGATCTGCTGTAACTTATTACTGTAAAAAGGTGTGCGACTAATTTCACTGGATTCATGGCCTCAAGATTGTCCTCTACCACTGTACCACTGTCCCCCCCCCCCCCCCCCCCCCCCCCCCCCCCCGCCGACGACCACCACACATTGCCTTCAAACCTGTGGGAAACACTGGAATTATATAGTATGCTGGAAGCACACTGGCTTGATTCAACAGGTGGCCCTTTTAGTTGATGGTGACATAGAAAAACTTGACAATAATAGCAAAAAATTCCATCTAACACAGGTGCATTCCACATGCGATTAGAACAATTTTCAACAAAACTAAGTCCTTCTGTCCACATATGTGGACATCATGTTTAGCAGTCCAGACAATTGTTTTTAAATTGTAATTATTGTAAAATTTACATGTCATGACAAACTTACATCACTTATAAAACTATCTGAACAAGAATAATCTTTGAAATCGGATTGGAATTTTTACTTGGTGGATTTTTTGGTTGGGAACTTGCATGTGAACTTTCCTGTGCGCGGTCAGCCATTTTGTTTTGTGTTAGCTTGTGCTGTAATTCCTCCAACACTGCTAGAGGGCAGTGTAGGTATTGCTGTATGTGGACCCCAGGCCCCAATAAATCAGGATGAAGTATTATGTTTGTACAGCCCAAAATGTGATGTCCACACATGTGGACGGCAGGTCTTAGGAGGTAAACTTGGCACGAAACTTTGACTCTTAAAACCCACATGTGACAAAACGGAACCACCAACATCTCGCCTCAAATTGCATTAAAAGTGACATTCGTGTCTTAATTCGTTAGTATTTTAACTTTAAAGACATTCACGGTCCGCCATCTTGGTATGCTTCGGCTGCCGTGAGACGCGCATGCGCAGGTTTGCATTACATCATAAACAGCTGAGGCAGTGCATCTCTTCAAGGAAGTGTATCTCGGCGTTACACCGGCACCAGTACAGACCTTATTGGGAGGAGGATTATCGCTGTAATGGACTAGAGGAGACGAGTGAATGACTCCGATACCGCGGAGATTGATGAGCCCACCTCAGGCAGCAACACAAACACAAAACACACACTGGGATGGTGAGTCTGCAGTGATGTACCTTTTGAGGGTTAGGGTTCTCCGAGCTGAACCGCACATAAATGAAAAGACACTGAGTAGATTTACAAAGCACTAGAGAAAACCAGATCCAATTTTATGCCTATATTGGTTTGAATAATTCTTGTACACTTTCTGTGAATGATATAAACTTTATGTCGCAATTATCACAGTGTTTGTCTCCTATATGGGACATTTAACTGCAGTTTCTCATCCAAACAACCAATGATTTATAAAAGTAAATCCTAAAAATTGTTAGGGGTGCTCAAACTTTTTCAGTCTATTTGTCATAGCTGGATCGAACAGGACCGAACTACTTCTAACACTGGCTTGTAACCCCCCGTAATCGCATTGGAGAGGGGCAACTATGTGTAAGGCTGCACAGTCGCAACCAAATGGAAACAACTATACTAGTGGCCCTGACTCACAAATGGAAAATATTGCAATCATGTAGAATTCATGATTTCCTTTACAGACAGCGTATTATCTTGTTGCGTTTTATAAATCAGTTGTTCCCTGTGTTTAGACTTCTGAAACAGGCTTGGAAATGGAAGCATCACTGCAAATAGGTTAAAATCGATAGTGAATAAGATAATACTTCAATTGTTGTGTTATCTGATATTGAAATAGGCACGTCCATTTGTATATACAGTATAACTTGCCACAGTGGGATTTTAAATGAGAAACAGTGAAAAAATTGCCAAATAAAAAATACATAATTAAAAAAATCCACTGGTAACTCCAAGGTCAAATACATATTACTAACCAAAGACGTTTTTTTTCCCCCCCACAAAAACTTTGCATATTGCCCCTTTAATACCTGCCCAGTCTAATATACTGTACCCCAGCAACTTGTGTTGTTATTGTTACCGCCCTCGACCAGAATACACAATATCCTTGTGATTTCTAAACATAATATTTCACCAGGTCTGTCAATGACGCCCTGGACAAGAGCAAAATATACAAATGCAAAACTGAGAGTTAGGCTCAAGAGGCCAAGACAAAACTTCATCTCACTGTTCCTCACATTTGTTAAGCATAAAGCAAATATACGAAGGTTTCTTTTGATCGGCATGTCTATTGTTGTTCTATTTTCTCCTTTACCCGACCTGAATTCAAACACTATCCTCCATCAGTAATCTGAATTTGAATGATTTCTATGAGTGCCATAAATAGTTTTGGCATTTCCTTTGAGTGTCATCGCGCCGCAGCAGTGAGTTGTCGAGCCCCCGCCCACACTGCCACCTGCTTTGTGTTTCCCTGAGTGCGCAGGCAAATAAAACCTAGATAAAGCCTAATGGTAGAAGTCTATGTGTTTATTGGTTTGATATGTTATGATTTTTACAGAGACAGTGTAAAATAAGCATTAGCCAAAGTTAAAGATGCATTGTGCCAGGTTAAAATGCAGTGCTAATTTACACCTGTAGTCCCTGAGCAGGTTGATGTCACAGTAAAACCAAAGTAGAAGGACCCACACATTACATACATTTTATACATTATCAGACAGAGGTTACAACTTGATTTAACAAGTTAGACTAAAACTACCCAGCCCCCACTTCTCACTTCTGCTTCATAGCTCACACTCACACCAAGCTCACACACACTCACGCATGGGAACAGAGTTATCTTTCCAAAAGTCATTTTTTGGTCGGGCACACAAGATTAGATTATTATACAAATACATTTTATTCAGTGCATGTGGGATCTCAGTTGGAAGTGAGCACCATATACCGTTGTACCATAGTCCTACATTTACACATTTCATTTCCCTGCCATGTTGCTCTTTCATGATCACATTTGCTTTACCCTCAAAACTGTATTTTTAAATAAGTAATTTAAGTAAGTAATTTTTATAAGTAATTTTTTTGAAGTTTGAAATACACACTTACTTCTATTTAAGTAACATGTAAGTATTTTTTCCTCGTATCAGCACTTTACTCATAATTTTTCTGACCAATTTGTACTCCTCACTTTTAAGCCCAAATATCAATACTTTCTACATTTTTCTCGTGCATTTCAAAATTAATAGTTAGTTTGTAAGAGAGGACATAATATGAAACCGGTTTTCAATCGTTAGCCGTGCTTCTAAATTCATGAATTTGTTTGCTAATTTGCTTCTATAGTTCTGATTTTCTACATGTGTGTTTATTATCTGCACTGTTGTATGCATTAAATGAACTGAACTGCAGCCTCACCGTAGTGTGGGATGATAGCCCAGGCCATGGCAGAAGCATAGATCCCTCCAATCATCCAGAACATACACAACCAGCTCAGGTGTTCCCCTCGTTTTTCTCGAGCCAGTACCTCAGCGAAGAAGGAGAAGACTATGGGCACAGCTCCTCCAATCCTACACAAGAACAATTCAATCATTGCATTTACCTGTAACCTCTGTACCGTCAAAATATCTGACTCAAGGTCTATCTATCTATCTATCTATGTGGATATTTTGTGTGCTTTTGGCAAGTAAACAATAATAAATAATGTAATGTATAAAGGATTACACTGTTTTATTTCTGTACTTTTAACCTTGCCCTATGTACGTACTTGTCCGGTGCACACTGGGGACTTTTGCAAATGTATTCCAGTGTGGTTTTGCTGCAAATGGCAAATAAAATGAATCTGATGTGCTCTGTAACGATGATTCTGCCGCTACATGTCCAGTTGCAAAAGCAGATGTGTTACTGTATCATGACACATCAGGAGCCTTTTATCTGTCTCTGACTCGAGGACGACGTGCGATAAGAACCAGACCGAGCCAGACTGAGCCTTCGCCGCTGATGCCGGGGCTATCACTGTTTTTTTAAAATTACCTTTCTGCACATAAAAACGGTAGGAGCTCACCCGAATCCAGACACCATGCGGCAGAAGAGGAACATGCTGTACCCCTGGACAAAGGAAGACAAGAAGGCAAAGAAGCCGTTGACCGACAGAGATATGAGCAGGATCTGTCTGCGGCCCGCTCTGTCCGACAGGCCGCCCCAGAAGAACGCCCCCACCATCATCCCCAAGTACACTATGCTCCCTGCAGAAGACACAACACAGGGAGAAATGTGTCAGCACAGAAGGAAGGAAACAATGATCAAAATAATGCAATCCACTTTTTTTTATATAGCACGTTTTATAATACAAGTCTCCAAAGTGCTGCACGGAGATAAAATCAACACATTTATATATGCACAGATAATAATAAAAACAATACAATACCAGTTAACAATAACCATGTGATAAAAACGATAAAATTCTAGTTATGATAAAAAAGAATAAAAAGAGGACCACACAACTCATGCGGTGTTAAAAGTCAGAGTGAAAAAAGACAAGACTTAAAACACTCCACAGAGGAAGCTGTTTTGACAAACCCTGTATATATTTTTGACTCATTCGTTTGAACTCCGGCTGGCCCGCAAGACAATGTTTAGTGGCCTCAGAATTGATTTTGTAATATTATGATTATTATTTTCATTACTTGCTGCGTTGATGATGATGGGCTACCAAGGCTTGTTATACGTTATCTATTTTCTCAGGAAAAAAAATCACATTTAATTTATTTCATTCCATCCAAACATCTTCCGCTTTATCTGTTGCCAGGTTGCAGGGGCAGCAGTCTAAGCAGAGACTTAATTGACTTTATTCTAACATTTGAACCCAACACATAAAGAGAAGAAGAATTGTTATAAAATATGGGTTTAACTTTAGATTTGGCCCAGTTTTGGTTAAATCTAAACAATAAACACATTTAAGAAAAAAACAACCAGAAAAAAATAATGTCAGTTTATAGAGATGACAAAATACCTTCAACATGTAAAAAAAACAAAAAACAAAAAAATACATAAGTAAAGGAAATCCCTTTCATTCAGCCCCAGAACCACTTCCTGTTCTGCCCCTGACCTAAATTAGTTTGGAATCTCTGCTTTAACACTAGAACTCCCAGAGCAGTCAATTTGACGGCAGTGTACTCATGTATGGTTTTCATAACTTTGTGACTTTTCTGTTTCTATATGTAGTTTATATCTACGCCATTATTTTCATGAAATTATATGTTAATGTTGAAAAATGAGCAGTTAGTTAGTTACCATAGCAACACACTGTCAACACACATCTGTCAGCATTTGGTAGCCGTTCAACCACAGACTGTAAATATAAAAACACATATTAATTCCTTGAAAGTTGATGTCTCGGAATTCCATTGTTTTGAACAGGAGGAGTCAAAATGACTTAGAATTATAGAATTATAGTTTAATAATTCTAGGGTTAAGTGTAAAACTATTATCTGTCTTATATTTTTGTGCACTCTGTGTGAGGACGGCCGGGGTTTGTCAGTATATAATCCCGGCTCTTCTTTACTAATAAAAATGCTAATGTGGTCTGAGGAGATGAGTCCGCGAGACATGAGAAAGAACTTTGTCTTTTATGGCTGTGGAGGAGGTGCTGCTGCTCTTATCAAGCTGCACAGACATGATGCTTGGACCCACAGCCATTTGTTATTAGTGACAGCTGCAGCAGCGCACTTAGTCCACCAGAAATGCACAATCTTCAGAATCGCATTACAAATACAAAGAGTGGATTTAGTGCAGACTGAGTGAGTGATGCTTTTGACACAAAGAAGGATATTTCTGCTGTAAGTGAGAAGAGAACGGTCGTCAGCAGCAAAACTGAAGCAGAGCATTATGGAGGAGTCAGTCTCATAAACAAATAGTGCCTAACGTGTTAAGTGTTCTTAAATATGCATTGTTCAAATGTTTAAAAATAGAAAGAGGTAATTTGCAATCTCATTGCTGAGTTATGGGTGGATACAGTATGTAATATGCTCAGTGCTCCTAATTCTGAAATGTGAAGAGATGGCTCAGCTCTTACCAGGGTCTCAAATACAAATACTTTGTTTCAGTATTTTAATTACTTAAAGTATCTAGTCTAACATTGAAAATGATTTGTGTACGTTAAAGGAGAAAGTAAATTATTAATTGGAAGTTTGAGTAGTATTTCATGTGATAATGACATTTGTTATTTATTAAAGGAGAGATTATGATGTTTGTTTTCCTTCCTCATTGAGTCAAATTAGCATACTACACTCAGATTTCCCTCCGTCAAGGGGTCTTTTGTTCACACGTATTAAATAAAACAATTATTGTGCTGCACTATTATTATAATGAATATTACAGACAAAAGCTCAACATGTCTGTTGTATCACAGTATTACAGCTTTAGCCTTGATGCTAAATCTGAGCTTTAACAAAACTAACACAAACATCTAGTTAAAACTGGCTTTCTTTCTTTCCTGCATCAGTGAAAACATCTCCACAGACGAGTGGAGAGATGAGAGAATGTCCATGATGTGTTCAGACTCCCACAGGAGTTTCTGTGAGACACAGATGTGCAGCAGGAGAAAGGATGTGAGAGAGTGTGATGTTCAGGTGCTACTTTCATCAAACCACAATCATTCTGGAGAGGGAGGTCTCACACAATGACACACAATTTCAACATACATTGAACAACTTATACCTGAACGGTGTAATTCAATAGGAATTGAACATATAATCACAGCGGCTCTGTACAAGGATCAAAGTCCATAAATAAAACATGGAGTTAAAGAAAGGGGGGACGACTAAGAAGCAGCCGTATTTCAGGAGGAGGGACATGGTCATTCTACCATGACTGGACTGCAGAGGAAAACACATGGTCAATGTACCATGTGTGGACTGCAGAGGAAAGCACATGGTCAATGTACCATGTGTGGACTGCAGAGGAACACACATGGTTAATGTAATAGGCCCGGTTTAGACGGAGACGCCGCGGAGACGCTGCAAAGCAATCAACAAAAACAACCAGGCTCCTTAGTGCACGGAAATCGAGGTAGTTCTAGTGCCCGGCCAGTAGGGGACAGTGGAACTTTACTACACGACATGTGCGACCCCCAGCAGTAGAATCACTCACCCCCTGAAACTCTGTCTTCATGTGAACGAAAAGCCAATTTGTCACCCAACGTTTTACTGCTGCAGCGTCCTGGTGTAAACGGCATATTAGTCTGTGAGATCGGGCTGTCAAATCATGTGCTGCAGACACCCGCAGTCGGTCAATTATAGTAGACTAAAAAAGGCAAAAGCTCTAAAGAAAACACCTACATATTACACACAAAATAAAGTGTAGATAAACTTGTGAATGGAGAGTTTGAAGTGGCTGGAATTTCAAAGTAAATCCAAAAAATCAAACAGTGCCTCAGTTGGTGGAGCATTGGGGTTTGAGCCTGAAGGTCGTGGGTTCGAGCCCACCACAAGCATTCTCCTTCAACTCCCACCGATGTCTGCTGTCATTTTGTCCTTGGGCAAGACACTCGACCCCACTTTGCCTGAAGCCCCCGCTGAAAGATCAAGGCTCCCGTGGACTCACCACCTGCAGGAGGATCAGTGAGGGGCTGGTGCTCTGTGTACTGCCACCCCCGACCCAGGAATGGATTAAGGGGAAGAAAATGGATGGATGGCTTCTGATTTTTTGCAGTTTTTCCGTAGAAATCCTTTTAATTTAGATACAACTTATCCTTCAACTGACTAAAGACTGACAGACCTAAATTGAACATGTATTTGTCCCTTCAGTGCAGCACCTGGGGACCCATCTCCAGATGTTGATCAGAGACTTCGCTGGAGGATTTTACCAATGGTGCATGTTTTAGAGAAAATCCAGCAAGAAATGAGGAGAAACCTGCAAACTCCACACAGACACAGTGCTGATACAGGGATTGAACCTACAACCTTTTTGCTGTGAGGCATGAGCACTGCCCACACAGCCAGCGCCTGACCCACTGTCCCAGAGCCACTCAGTCTAGAGGAAAGTAAAGCTGTTTGTGCCCAACCAGGTTCAAGGTTGATTTTCCTTTAATTCATACACAATCAGAGAGTGCCTTTCATAGATGGATTATCCGACTCATAAGATCAATATCTGAGATCAAAACACAAGAATTGATCTAATCTGCAGGGAAGGTTGTGCTTATTTTTATTTTGTATTATTATTATTCAGGTAGATTTGTTTCTCCTTTCTCTATATTCATTATCATTATTATTATTGTTATTATGTTTTTTTTGTCTCCTTGTCTTTGTGATTTGTTTGTTCTATTTGTAGTTGTAATTTTGTGTTTTTTGTGTGTTGCCCGTAGCTTTTGTATGATTTGGTATTTCTTTTTTGTGCAAGCCTTATTCTATTTTTACTTTTATGACCGACTGAGAGCCTGAGCTGTTTCCTAGTTTGTGACTTCTTGTTTCTCACAATAGCAATGAAAGAAATTATTTTTTTGATTCTGATTGTCTCTGTCTGTGCTTTGTCTGTACCATGTCTGTCTGTCTGTTCTGTCGGATGTTCATGTTGGTCCATCCACTTTTGTCTCGCCATTTTTATCGATTGATGCCTGTATGATTTCTATTGGTTGCAGGGGAAATTGTTTTTGGCTGTAGTTGGGGCATCTTTTTTGTTTTGTTATTACCAACCAACATGAGTTGTCAGACCTTGAACTAATGCAAATAAAGCCAATTACTGTATATAAATGCATAAAAAAGACCTGAGTGGTGCGGGTCCTTACCTAACCATCCAGCCCCAGAGTTGGGCACACACATGTCGGTCTCGGCGCTGGGCAGCACGAAACCCACTACGAACACTTCTACCCCATCAGACATCAGCGCCAGGCCCAGGACGAAGTAGAGCTGCCACTGGAAGCGTCCGTGGCCACACTCCTGCAGGATGAGCTCATACTGCTGGGCCAGCTCCTCTTCGTCGGCCTGCCTCTCGTTCTCCAGATCCTTTTGACCTTTGTGGGAAGCCGGCTCTGCTCCCGGTGCCGTGTGTCCGTCCGAGGGTTTGCCCTGGTACTCCCCTTCGTAGACCTCGTCCTCGTCGTCGTGGCCCTCTGTGGCATCGCTGGACCCTCCTTCGTCGTTGTTCTCGCTCTCTCTGTAATGTTTATCCTGCTGCTGGTAGCTGTACTCTTCCTCGTTTTCGTTGTTGAAGCGGTTGTAGCTGCGCTGAGTCGAGTATTCGTCCGAGGCTCGGTCCACAGCCTTGGACATGTTTCTGGCTGCTTGTCTCTTGGCCTCGTTGGCAATGTCCCTGGCACCTTTGGCCAAGGAAGTCCTGTTTTCATCCATTATGGCACAGTCGTTTTTTTATTCAAACTATAAAACGTAGAAGGCTAGAAAAACCAAGTGCACTATAGCTTTACTTGAATGTCCAAAAATGGATTGTAAGATTTCTGCAGTGTCATTATACAAGAATAGTCCAAATTCACCGAAGTGGAGACAGCATCAGTCTGTGAAGAAGCAGAAAACATGGGTAATCATTCTGAAAGTGCAGACACTAAAATACTGAGACAAAACCATACATAATATTTGACTACTTGGATGTCATGCAGCACAAGGACAGATTCAATAAAAGGGCTATACTTTTCAGACTGCCCTTAAACAGTCACTTCTTCTCAAGACATTATTTCATTCCTCTTGCTCATGAAATGACAAAGTATAAAGTCTCATTATTATTTTATTGGACGAAAAAAAATGCGTAATAATTCTTCTTAAAAACAAGAATCACATTTTAGCACAAATTCCAATGAACAGTGCATCTCCTACAATACACACCCTAATGTCAAAATGTTGCATTATGTAGAATTATACCATGATGCACTGCTACTGGTGTGTAAGTAATGTGGAGGAGCAGCGGCTCTGTTCTGAGCTTCTCCCAGATTGCACATTATTATTGGCAGAAGAAACTCATTTTGACTTCATGCTTATGTTCCCGGGTTTATACATTCCTTGGATAGAGCTGATCGGCAGATGAGAATAGGACAGTTGAAGTTGAAGTTGTGGAGATGGGGCTATGATCTTCGTGACAATCACACACACGCATACTTTGATCAGCTATCCCTCAAAGTTGTCTAACTTTTATGCCAATCAGGCTTTCTGCAACAAATACGTCCAAAATAATGACATTTAACGCATCAAAGCACATTCCCCGTCACCTAACTCCATTTTGCATTTTAAATCATCCTGAGACCGGGGCTGCGTTGATTACATCTACAACACGGAGAGGCTCATATGTTTCCAGCAGAGAACACTGAGTCGGTTCAATGACTTGCCTTGTACAGTGGAGACGCATCTTCCGGAGTGGTGCGCGTCCGGGAGCGTGTCAGAGAGGAGGATCCGCATCTCTCCTCCTGATGGTCCGATGCAGCGCGGCTCACTGCAGTCCTGGAGAGGCACGAGTCGGAGGAGGGAGGTGGTGCTGTAGTGGTGGGGGGTTGGGGTGCACTAAAGACTATATATGTGCGAGATGGACACAACAAGGCAGATTGAAAAGGAATCTATAGAAGCCTGTTTTCTCCCCACGTCTTTCCCGGTGCAGCGATCCGTCAGTGAATATCCAGAGGTTTAGATGCGCAGTCAGAGCTGGTGAATACTGCCACATTCACCAAACAAAGAAAGCGCAGCGTAGAAGTTAGTGGTGCATGGATCTGTCTGTGCACAGGAGTTTAGGAGAGATTGTATAAGATGGCCCTATAGTCTGGCCATTAGAACAGATAGGATCATCAAATGTATGTGATCCGAAACTTTATCATGATTACCTCGCTAAGACATACAGTAACCAATGTATATTGTAGTAGCGTGTGTGTGTGTGTGTATGTCTGTGCGTGTATGTATTAAATATGTGTTACCCGTAGACTGTAAATATGAATAGTGTTTCCTTATTTGACCATTTGCAATGTGTGTGTGTGTGTGTGTGTGTGTGTGTGTGTGTGTGTGTGTGTGCTTGCCTTTGTAAGTGTATGTGTGTGTATGTCTGTGCGTGCATGCATTAAATATGTGTTACCCACAGACCGTATGTATGACCCATAGACTGTAAATATTAATTGTTTCCTCAGTTTTTACCATTTGCAATGTGTGTTTGTTTGTGCGTGTGCGCGTGTGTGTGTGTATCATTGTGTGTGCATGAGTATTCCATCTAAATGTGGTATGTATAGTGGAATGTGAGGAATATAAATATTTCTGTTTGAAAATTCTGCAATCATCTCCATCTTTTCCTCCGCTGGTATTCTCCCTTTTGAATAATTATACATTAGATATTATTCCAGGCTAAATGTCAACGTATTTAATTGGTTGTAATTTTAGCCTATATTTTATACATAATCATTCATAAAACCATGATTAGAAGCTGCTATGGGACAATATGCCACTGAAGATTTTACAGAGGATGGTAGAACTGTATTTCTTTATTCTATTACTCGTATAAAGGTATGTATCTGTATCTGGGAACAAAACTCTAAAACACTGCACTCACCTGGAGACATCAGTGACAGCAGCTGCAGAATTGAATTGGCCTTTTTGAACTCTTCTGTGCTTTGGATTGACGGAATAACCCCACGTTTATTAGTTAGACATTCTGATCTCACATATATCTCAGCAATACACTGACAGACGTGAGGGCTTAGTTTGAGTTGAAGCTAATATGTTCAATATAAAACCACGATTTTATAGCAGCTTGAAATTTGAATTACTACATGGGAAAAAAATCTATGTTGCTCTGCGTTTAATGAGAATAGATACTTGATGCCAGAAAAAATAAACTTACAAATGATAATATATTTAAACAATTGTGAATAAATGATTGGTGAACAAGTGGCACAGTACATGTTTAAGCCAGATCCTGCTTGACCTATGAAGCTAAGCAGGGCTGGCCTGGTTAGTACTGTGATGGTAGACCTCTGGAACCACCGAAAAAGCGTATTGTGTCTTTGGGCAAGACACTTTACCCACTTTGCACAGAATGAGTTTGATGTGTGCGTGGATGGTTGGTGGTGGTCAGAGGGCATGTATGGTTGCCTTGCTTTTGTTAGTGTGCCCCAGGGCAGCTGGGGCTACAATTGTATAGTTTATCCCCAGTGTGTATGGAGTGAAGTGTCTTTGAGTGTCCAAAATGAAGCTTAAGCGGAGCTTAGACCAGGCTATCCACGCCTTACTCAGCCTGTCATGATCGACTCATCAACTCCCTGCAGCCGTGTCAATCAAGCCAGCGTTTAAAAGCAAAGCAGAGCACAGCTCATCAAACGGACTTTCAAGCAGCAACCACCTCCGCCTCAGGATTTCTTCACTCTCACATTCACCTTGCCTTGTTGCCACCACCAGTGTCTAGGCCCCGGGGATCATGATCTGCACCCAGGCGCAGATCCCTTCAGAGCACGGCCACAGCCGGGGCCTAAGCTCCAAACCAATAAACAAACTCAATCCATAAAATCTCAAACGCATAAAAAACTCTTAAACGCATCTTGTCTCTTGTAGTTTCTCCAGGTTGAAAAAGCACTAAAACTGATGCATTATTATCATGATGAGGACTGCTTCTGAATAACAGGCTCTGTCACAGCTAAAATGTGGGCCACGGCGTCAGCTTTGAAGACCTACTGCTGACAATAATAATAATTAAAAAATACATACATTGACCACACTGTTAGGCTGCAGAGTTCACAGGGACAGTACATCTGTGATCGTAGACTAAGATATACTCAACAAACCCCACATTCCCAGGTGAAGATTTTCCATCAGCTATAGCCATCATATTACAAAATAAGGCAAGCGTTTGGTTTATTAAAAGTCTTGACACATTAGGCACAAGATATTTATAGATATCACAGAAGGCATGAAGTTCCCAAGTCTGATCTGAATCTCTAAATACACGTTGTTTTGGGGAATGCTGTTGAAAACCAGTAAATGATGGGGATATGTTTAGATGTGTTGGATTTTCATGTGATGGAAATGTAAACAACTTATCAGCTTTGCTCTGTTAAAATCTACAGAACAAATTGACTTGTATATCGGGTTTATCATGGAGACTTGGCAAAGACTTATAGTTGTGATTATACTGCAGCTCAAAACGTTCTTCTGCTTCACAGACGCAGCATCACTCCATCATTTGACATGCTCCGATAGTGACACGATAATTACTTTTACACATCTCTCCCAAAATATAAATGATGCAAAGAAGGTTTGGGTGTAGAGAGTTATGAGCACACACACCCACACGCACACACACACACACACACACACACACACACGCACACGCACACGCACACGCACACACATTCATATAGACACACACACACACACACATTGCCTGTACTACCACTGTACCAAAGACCAGACGAACTTTTAAACTACTGTAGAAATATTGAGGAAATAATTGAGGTAAAGTAGGCCTTTTTGGTCCAAATACCTCCAAAAAGTCAAAACATGGTCACTTTTGATCAGACTGTAACTGTTAAGTAAAAAGGTGTGCGACTAATTTTACACTGGATTCAGCGGACCTCCTGATGCCCTCTACCACTGTACCACAGACCAGAAACTTTTACTGTAGAAATATTGATTTAAAGCAGCCCATTATGTCAAATACCTAAAAAATTGTCAAAACATGTCCTTTGTCTGCTTGTAACTTATAACTGTAAAAAGGTGTGCGACTAATTTCACTGGAATTCATGGAACTCAGAGATTGTCCTCTACCACTTGTACCCCCCCCCCCCCCCCCCCGCCCCACCCCCCGCCGGACGACCACCGAACACATTGCCTTCAAACCTGTGGTAAACACTGCGTTGTTATTTAGGGTCAGCTGACGGTTGTTGCAGCAGACCGGTGTTGTTGCAGACGTTTGTGGCAGCAACGAGTTGTTAACAGCGAGACGTATTGTGCGCAGCAAACGTGTTGTTGCAGACGTGTTGTTGCAGCAGGACTGTTGTTGCAGACGTGGTTGTTGCAAGCTAGGCGTGTTGTTTGTCAGCAGACGTGGTGACGCAAGTCAGGCTTTTTGTTGCAGCAGGCGTGTTGTTCAGCAGGACGAGATGTCGCAGCAGACGTGTGTTACAGACGTGTTGTTACAGAACGTGTTGTTGCAGACTTGTTGTTGCAGCAGGCGTGTTGTGGGCAGCCAGACGCTGTTGTCGCAGCAGGCGTGTTGTTTGCTGTGCAGGCGTTTGTGTTGTTGCAATCGCGGCGGTTGTTGCAGTCAGGCGTGTTGGTCATGCAGGCTGTTTGTCCCGCAGCAGACAGTGTTGTTATCAGACGTGGTTGTTGCAGACATGTTGTTGCAGACTTTTTTGTTGCAGCAGGCGTGTGTTGCAGGCAGATGTGTAGTTGCAAGACAGACGTGTGTGTGTTGCTGAAGGGCGCGTTGTTGCAGCAGGCTATTTGTCGCGCTGCAGGCGTGTTGTCGCAGCAGGATCTGGGTTGGTTGCAGCCGTCGTGTTTTAGCAGCAGACGTGTTGTTGCAGCAGACGTGTTGTTGCAGACGTGTTGTTGCAGCAAGAGTGATGTTACATGCAGACAGTATTGTCGCAGCAAACGTGTTTTGTGTGCAGACTGTGTTGTTGCAGCAGACCGTGTTTGTTGCAGACGTGGATTGTTGCATAGCAGGCGTTGTTGTTGCAGCAGACGTGTTGTTTGCACAGCAGGCGTATTGTCGCAGCAGGCGTGTGTTAGCAGCAGACGTTTGTCGCAGCAGCACTGTTGTTACAGACGTGTTGTTACAGACGTGTGTTTGTCTAGACGTGTTGTTGCAGCAGCGTGTTGTTTGCAGCAGGACTCTTGTGTTCGCAGCAGGCGGTTTGTTGCATCAGGCTGTTGTTTGCAGCAGGCGTTGGTCCGCAGCAGACGTGTTGTTACAGACGTGTTGTGCAGACGTGTTGTTGCAGCAGGCGTGTTGTGTGGCGCAGATGTGTTGTTGCAGCAGACTGTTGCGGCAGCAGGCGTTTTGTTGCTGCAAGCGCGTGTTGCAGCAGCCCGTTGTTCAGCAGGCGTGTTTGTTCGCGCAGCAGACGTGTGTTATCAGACTTGTTACAGACGTGTTGGTTGCAGACGGTGTTGTTGCAAGTCAGGACGTGTTGTTGCGGCTGATGTGTTGTTTGCAGCAGACGTGTTTTTGCGCAAATGTTTTTGGCAGCAGACGGTTATTGTGCAGCAGCGTGGTGTCAGCAAACTTGCTGGTGCAGAGCCAAGACGTGGCTGTTGCAAGCAGGCGTGTTTGCACAGCAGACTGTGTTGCAGCAGACTTGTTGTCATGCTGCAGATGTTTGTTAGACAGACGTGTTGTCGCAGCAACGTGTTGTTGCAGCAGACGTGTTGCAGCAGAACGTTGCTGTTGCAGCAGGCGTGTTGCAGACAGACGTTGTTGTTGCGCAGATGTGGTTTTGTTGCAGAACGTTGTCGCGGCATGATGTTTTGTTGCAGACCGGTTGTTGCAGCAGACGTGTTTTGAGCAACGTAGTGTGTTGCAGCAGACTTGTTGTTGCGCAGATGCGTGTTGTTGCAAAACGTGTTGTTTGCTAGCAGACGGCTTTTGTTGCAGACGGTTGTTGCCAGCAGATGTGTTGGTGAATTTGTTGCAGACCCGTGTTGTGCAGCAGATGTTTTGTTGACAGACGTGTTGTTTGCAGCGCAGATGTGTTGTTGCATAGCAGTGTGTTGCCAACGCAGACTGTGTTTAGCACAGACGTGTTGTTGCAGCAGACGTGTTGTTGCAGACTGGTTCTGTTGACAGCAGACGTTCTGTTGCAGCAGACCGGGTTTGTCCGCAGCGACGTGTTTGTTGCCAGGCAGGCGTGTTGTTGCATGCCTGGCGTTGTTTGTTGCTGCAGACGTGTTTTGTTGCAGCAGACGTGTTGTTGCATGCAGACCGTGTTTGTTGCTGCAGACGGGTTGTGCTGCAGACGTGTTGTTTTCAGCAGGCGTGTGTTGGAGAGAAGGGGGCCGTGTTGCTCAGCAGGCGTTTGTCGCAGCAAGACGTGTATGTCGCGCAGGACTGTGTTGTCGCAGCAGACGTTTGGTGTTGCTGGCAGGCGTGCTGTTGCAGCAGGCGTGTTGTGTACTGCAGGAACGTGTTTTGCAGCAGACGTGTTTGTTACAGACGTGTTATAGCAGCAGACGTGGTTGTTGAAGCAAACATGTTGTTTGCAGGGCAGACGTGTTGTTGCACGCGGACCTTAGGTCGCAGCAGACTGTTGTCGCAGAAGTCGTGTTGTTTGCAGCGGACGTGTTGTTGCAGCGACGGTTGTCGCAGCTGATGTGTTTCGCAAGCAGACGTGTTGTCGCAGCAGACGTGTTGTTGCTGCAGAAGTGTTGTCGCAGCCAGACGTGTTGTCGCAGCAGACGTGTTTGTCGCAGTAGAAAAGACGGTTGTTGCTGCAGGCGTGCTGTTGGCAAACGCCGCGTGTTGTTACTGCAGACGGGTTGTTGTCAGCTAGAACGTGTCTGCAGCAGACGATGATTGTTGCGTGCAGACGTGTATGGATACAGCAGTCAGTTGCAGCAGAACGTGTTGGGTTGTCAGCAGCCATGTTTTTTTACAGACTTGTTTTTGCACAGACGTGTTTTTTGCAGCAAACATTTGTAGCAGCAGACGTGTTGGTGCAGCAGACGTATTGTCGGCAGCAGGACTGTTGTCGCTAGCAGCAGTGTTGTTGCAAGGCGGACGTGTTGTTGCAGCGGACGTTTTTTCGCAGTCAACCCGTAGTTTGTCGCAGAGCGACAGTGTTGTTTTGCAGCAGTAGCCAGTTTGTGCTGCAGACGTGTTGTCGCAGCAGGGCCCCGTGGTGTTGTTGCAGACGTATGGTTGCTAGCAGCGTGTTAGGTTGGTGCAGCTGTTGTTGCAGCAGGCTGTTTTTGCCGCATGCGTGTTTGTCGCAGCAACGTGTTGTCGCAGCAGACTGTTGTAGCAGCAGACGTGGGTTTGTTGCTGCAGGCGTGCTGGTTGCGAGCAGGCGTGTGGTTTGCTTTGCAGACGTGTTGGTGGCAGCAACGTGTTTTTTGTCAGCAGACGGTTGTTTTCCAAGCAGACGTTTTGTTGCTGCAGACGTGTTGTTGCTGCAGGCGTTGTGTGGAGGCAGGCGTGTTGTTGCATCAGGCGTTGTTGCATGCAGACTTGTTGTGGCACGCAACGGTTGTTGGAGCAGCGTGTTGTTGCGTCGCAGAAACTCGTTTGTTGTTGCAGCAGATGTGTTGTTGCAAAACGCATGCGGGGTGTTGTAAAAACCAGCAGATTGTTTGCAGCAGACTAGTTTGTTGCAGCAGGCGTGCTGTTGCAGCAGACGTGCGTGGCAGCAAGCGTGTTGTTGGAGGCAGGCGTGTTTGTTGCTAGGGTCAGACGTGTTGTTGCAAGCAACGGGTTGTGCCGCAGATGTGTTTGGTTGCAATCGTGTTGGTTTGCAGCTAGACTGTGTTGCAAGCTGACGGGTGTATTGCCCAGCAGACTGTTGTTTGCAGATTTGTTGCAGCAGCTTGGTTGTTTGCAGCAGCGTGTTGTTGCATGCAGACTTTGTGTTGTGGCAGCAGGCTGCTGTTGCAGCAGACGTGTTTTTGCTGCAGAACGTGTTGTTTGCACAAGACGGTTTGTTTGCAGCAACGTGTGTTGTTGCAGCAGATTTGTTGATTCAGAACTGTTGTTTCAGCGATTGTTGTTGCAGGACGTTTGTTGCAGCTACGTGTTTTGCAGCAAGACTGTTGTTTGCAGCAGACTGTTGTTTCGCAGACTTGTTTGTTGCACAGATGTGTTGTTGCAAACGTGTTGTTGCAGGTCAGACGTGTTGTTGCAAGTGTTGTTGCAGCAGATTTGTTGTTTGCGACTGTGTTTGCACAGATGTGTTTTTGCAGACGGTTTTGCAGCAGACGTGTTGTTGCAGCAGACGTGTGATGCAGCATAACCTGTTGTTGCGCAGAACGTGGTTGTTGCAGCAGACGTGTTGTCGCAGCAAACTGTTGTTGAGACGTGTTGTGGCACAGACGTTGTCGCAGCAGACGTGTTGTCGCAGCAGAACAGGTGTTGTCAGCAGCAGACGTGTTTGTTGGCAGCAGATGTGTTTTGTTGCAAACGTTTGGTTTTGTTGCAGCAGATGTGTTGTGTTGCAGACGTGATGTTGCAGCAGACGTTTTTGCAGCATACTGTTTGTTGCAGCATACCGTGTTGTGCAGCAGACTGTTGTTGCAGCAGATGTGTTGTTGGCATAACGTGTTGTTGCAGCAGACGTGTTGTTCAGACGTGTTTGTGGCAGCAGATAGTGTTGTTGCAGACGTGGATGTTGCAGCAGATGGGTTTTTTGCAGACCGAGTTGTTTGCAGCAGACTGTTGTTTGCAATGCAGACGTGTTTGTTGCAGCAGACGTGTTTTTGTTGAGCAGAGCGTGTTGTTGTCAGCAGACTGTTGTTGCAGCAGACTAGATTTGTTGCAGCATCGTTGTTGTCGCAGCAGTAACTTAGTTGTTGCAGACCGCGTGATGTTGCTAGGCAGACGTGTTGTCAGCAGCAGTCCGAGTTGTCGCAGAGCAGACATGTTGTTGCTGCAGACAGTGTGTCGAAGCAGACGTGTTTAGTTTGCTGCTGCCGTGTTTCGCACAGGCGGTTGTTGCTGGCAGCGTGTTGATGCAGCCGGCGTGTTGTTGGACAGCGTGTTTGCAGCAGGGCGTGTTAGTCGCAGCATGGTGTTGGTCGCAACAGACCGTGTGGTTGCGAGGCAGAAAGTGTTGTCGCAAGCAGACGTGTTGTTAGCTGCAGCGAGCTTTGCAGCAGGCAGTTGTTTGCTTGCGCATGACGTTGTTGCAGCAGACGTGTTTGTTGCATGCACGTGGTGTTGGAGCAGCGTTGTAGCAGCATGCGTGTTTGTTGCAAACGTGTTGTTGCAGCAGACGTGTTGTTGCTGCAGACGTGTTGGTTTGCAGCAAGCGTGTTGTTGGGAGCAGGCGTGTTGTTGGCAGCATGCGTGTTTGTTGCTGCAGACGTGTTGTTGCAGCATACGTGTCTGTTGCAGACTGTTTGTTATCAGGCAGATGTGTTGTTGCAAGCAGACGTTTTTTTGCAGCAGGACCGTGTTGTTAGCAGCAGACTTGTTGTTGCAGCAGAATGGTGTCTGTTGCAAACCGGTGTTGTGTTGCAGCAGACTGTGTTGCAGCAGATGTGGGGTTGCAGACGGTTGTTGCAGCAGACGGTCAGTGTTTCCTCGACACATAGACGAAATCCTAGTGGGCTCAGATCCGAGCACAGATAGAGGAACCCCGCCCGCAACAAAATGCGGTTTCGTATATTATATATATATTTTTTATTGTTGACGTATTTAAAACATGCGTCGTTCTATTGCCAGCCGCAGCGGTCAATTTTGACAGGCGGGGATGGGGGAAAAAAATGTGGCGGGGGCCCGGCATCGTACTCTCACTCAAGCTACCCGCGTCTCTCCCACATTCAGAGACCTACACACACACAGCCCCTCCACTTCGTGCACACCGCGTGTGCCTACCCGTTCTCCATCAGCGATCAGCGCTGTAAGCAGCTGTAGTCTATTCATTTACAGCGGTAAAGTGGCCCGCATTCTTTCACTCTCGGGAAACATGCGGCCCGCATCGGGAAAAGACTGCCGCGTTTTGTTGAGAACTTACGGGTATACAGCGAACGTTCTCTTTCATGAGTCACCCATTTATTAATCGAACAGAAGCGCGCGTGGGGTCAGGAGACACGTTTTAGTGAATAAAACCTTATAGAGATCGACCACCCGCACACATAGCACCAGCCCTCCTACATTCCTACCGCAGATTGGTGAGTCCTCAGGAGGATAGCCTCTCTAATTGTTTACCATTATAAAGTACACAATTGGTCCGCTAGTGCAATTTTCAAGGTACGTGTAACGATTTACTTGAATAAGGTGTTGCGACTAAGTTCACTTGTGACTCATGACCTTATTAGTTGGCCCTCTGCCACTGACCAAAGACCAGAAACTTTACTGAAGAAATATTGAGAAATATTGAGGTAAATAGCCATTGTGGTCCAAAAAAACCCTCCAAAAATAGTCAAAACAATGTCACTTTTGATCTACTGTAACTTTTAGCTGTAAAAAGGTGTCGACTAATTTCACTGGATTCATGACTCAATATTGGTCCCTCTCCCACTGTACCAATGAACGCAGGACAGTTACTTTTTAGCGTAGAGACAATATTGAGGAAAGTATTGAATTAAAGTAGCCATTTTGGTCCAAAAATAGCAAAAAGGGTGCAACAAAAACATGTCACGATTTGATCTTCTGACTCTTTTCACTGTAAACAGGTGTGCTACTTGATTTCACTGAGATCCATGACCTCAACATTGCCCTTCTACCACTGTACCCAAAGACCTAGACCTTCTTACTGTAGAAATATTGGAGAAATATTGAGGGTAAAATAGCCATTTTGGTCCAAAATACCTCCAAAATAGTCACACATGATCACTTAATTTTTGATCTACTGAAAATTTTTACTGTACGAAAGTTGTGCGACTAATTATCACTGCGATCACGACCTCATGATTGCCCTCAACCACTGTACCAAAGACCAGAAACTTTTACTGTAGAAATATTGATTTAAAGCAGCCTTCTTGGCCCATAAAGATCCCCTAAAAATTGTCAAACAGGTCACTTTTGAAGCTGCTGTAACTTATTACTGGAGAAAAGGTGTCGCCAAATTCACTGGATTCATGACCTCAAGCTTGTCCTCTTTACTCACTGTACCCCCCCCCCCCCCCCTCCCGCCCCCCCCCTCCCGGCCGACACCACACACACATAGCGTTCAAACGACGTGTGGGAAACACGGCTGTTTAGCAGCAGGACGGTGTTGTTTGACAGCAGACAGTGTTGTTGCAGACTGAAGTTGCAGCAGACTGTTGTTTACAGCAGACTATTTCCGCAGCAAAACGTGTTGTTGCAGACGTGTTGTTTGGCAGCAGACGTGTTGGTTGCAGACGTGTTTGTTGCAGCAGCTGGTTGTTGCAGCAGACTAGTATGACGCATGCAGCGTCTTTGTTGCAGCAGGCGTGGTTGTTGCAGTGGCAGGCTGTTTGTCGCATCAGACGTGATTGTTACAGATCTTGTTGTTACAGACGTGTCGTTGCAGACGCGTGTTTTGTTTGCAGCAGGCGTGTTGTGCAGCAGACTTTGGTTCTGCAGCAAGGCTTGTTGTTGCCGCAGGCGTGTTGTTCAGCAGCGTGGTTGATTGCATGCAGCCGTGTTGTTGCAGCAGGCGTGTTTCGGCAGTCAAGACGTGTTGTTACAGACGTGTTTGTTTAGATGCATGACTTGTTGTTGCAGACGTGTTTTTTTGGCAGCCAGGCGTGTTGTTGCACGCAATGTGTTGTTGCAGCAGATGACGTGTGTGTTGTTGCTGCAGGCGCGTTGTATGCATCGCAGGCGTGTTGTCGCAGCAGTGGCGTGTGTCGCAGCAGACGTGTTGTTGCAGCAGTCGTGTTTTAGCAGCAACGTGTTTGTTGCAGCAGACGTGTTGTTGCAGACTGTTGTTGCAGCAAGCGTGTTGGTTACAGCAGAGCGTTAGTGTCCAGCAAACGGGTGTTAGCAGACCAGTGATGTTGCAGCAGACGTTTGTTGCATACGTGTTGTTGCAGCAGGCTGTTGGTTGCAAGCAGACGGTTTTTTTGGGTTTGTATTGGGTTTTTATTGGTTGCAGCAGGCGTTTGTCGCAGCAGGCGTGTTGGTGCATGCAGGCGTGTTGTCGCAGCAGACGTGTTGTTACAGACTGGTGTTAGTTTACAGACGTGTTGTTGGAGACTTGTTGTTAGCACGCAGGCGTGGTTGTTGCAGGCAGACGTGTTTGGTCGCGCAGGCGTGTTGTTGCAGCTGGCGTGTTGTGTGCACGCTAGCTTGTTTCGCAGCAGACGGTTGTTACAGACGTGGTTGTTGCAGACGTGTTTTTGCAGGCAGGCTGTGTTTGAGCAGCAGATGTGTTTGTTGCAGCAGTCGTTTTGCTCGCAGGCCAGCTTGTGTTGCTGCAGGCGCGTTTGTAGCAGCAGGCGCTGTTGCGTTGCAGCGAAGGCGTGTTTGTCGCAGAAGGACGTGTTGTTACAGACGTGTTGTTACAGACGTGTTTTGCAGACGTGTGGTTGCAGCAGGCGTGTTGTTGCAGCAGATGTGTTGGTGCAGCAGACCGTGGTTGTTGCAGCAACGTGTTTTTGCAGCAGACGGGTTTATTGCAGCAGGCGTGTTTGCTACAAACTTGCTGTTGCAGCAGACGAGCTGTTGCAGCAGGCGTGTGCAGCAGACGTGTTGTTGCAGTCAACGTTTTTCGCTGCAGATGTGAGATTGTTGGCGACGTGTTGTCGCAGCAGACTTGTTGTTGCAGCAGACGTTGCAGCATAGCGTGCGGTTGCAGGCAGTCTGGTTGCAGCAGACGTGTTGTTGCGGCAATTGTGTTTTGCAGACGTGTTGTTCTGCTGCAGATTGGTTTTGCAGTACGAGTGTTTTGCATGCAGACTGGTGATGCAGCAACGTGTTTGCAGCAGACTGTGTTTGTTTGCAGCAATGTTTGTTGCAAACGTGTTTTGCAGCAGACGTTGTGGTGCTAGTATCGTGTTGTGGTCAGTAAAAAGAAAAAAAAAAAAAAAAAAAAAGGAATAGATGTGTTGTTTGGCAGACAGTGGTTGCAGCAGATGAGTTGTTTTGCAGAGACGGGGTGTGGCTAGGCAATGTGTTGTTGCTGACGTGTTGTTGCAGCAGACGTGTTTTTAGCATCAGACGTGTTGTTGCAGCAGACGTGTTGTTTTGCAGACGTGGTTTGATGCTGCAGACGTTCTGTTGCAGCGATACGTGTTAGTCGTCAGCAGACCGTGTTTTGCAGCAGGCGTGTTGTTGCTGCAGGCGTGTTGTTGCCTGCAGACGTTTGTTCAGACAAGACGTTTGTTGCAGCAGACGTGTTGTTGGCCAGACGTGTTTTGCTGCAGACGTGTTGTTTCAGCAGGCTGGTTTTGGAGCAGGCGGTTGTCTCAGCAGCGTGTTGTCGCAGCAGACGCTGTTTCGCAGCAGACGGTGTTAGTCGCAGCAGAACGTGTGATGCTTCGCAGGCGTGCTGTTGCAGCAGGCGTGTTTGTGTACTGCAGACGTGTTGTTTTGCAGCAGACCGTGTTGTGTACAGACTGTGTTGCAGCAGACGTGTTTGTTCAGCAAAGCATGTTGTTGCAGCAGACGGGTGTTGCAAGCAGACGTATTGTCGCGAGCAACGTGTTGGGCGCATGCAGGCGGTGTTTGTTGTTTGCAGCGGACGTGTGTGCAGCGGACAGTGTTGTCGCAGCAGACTGTGTTGTCGCAGCAGACTGTGTTAGTCGCAGCAGACGTGTTGGTTGCTGCAGACTGTTATCGCAGCTGACGGTTGTCGCAGCAGACGTGTTGGTCGCAGTCAGACGTGTTTTGCGTTGCAGGCGTGCTGTTGCAGGCAGCGTGATGTTACTGCAGAAACGTGTTGTTTGCAGCAGACGTGTTTTGCAGCAGACGTGTTGGTTGCTGCAACGTGTTGATACAGCAAGGCGTGTTGCAGCGGACGTGTTTGTTGCAGCAGACATGTTGTTACAGACGTGTTTTTGCGCAGACGTGTGTTGCAGCAAACATGTTTGTTGCAGCAAGACGGTTGTTGCAAGCATACGTATTGTCGCAGCAGACCGTGTTGTCCGCAGCAGGCGTTTTGTTGCAGCGGACGTGTTGTAACAAAAAAAACACAAAAAAAAAAAAAAAACAAAAAAAAAAACATAATAAAAAAAAATAAAAAAAAAAAAAAAAAAAAACACAAAAGACAAAAAAATAAAAAAAATAAAAAAAAACAAAAAAATTAATCAAAAAAAAACTCATAACCAAAAATATTAAAACCAAAACAAAACAAAAAAAAGAAAAAAAACAGTAAAAAAGAAATAGAAAAAAAAAACATAACAAAATAATAACAACAAAAAAACAAAATAAAAAAAAAAAAAAAAAAAAACAAAAAAATAAAAAAATTAGTCATATAAACAAATAAAAAATATAAAGAAACCAATAAAAAAAAAATCACGCAAATATAAGAACAAACAAAAACAAAAACAAAAATCATTAAAAAAAAAAACATAAAAAAATAAAAAAAAAATAAAAAAAAAAATAACAAATAAATCAAAATAAAAAACAATATACAAAAAAAAAATACAAAAGAAAAAATAAAATAAAAAACAAATCAAAAATAAAAACAAAAAAACAAAACATAAATCAAAAACAAAAAACAATAAAAATAACACAAAAAAAAGACAATAATAACAACAATAAATATCAAAAAAAACACAAAAAAAAAAAAACAATAAAAAACAAAAACAAAAAAAAGAAAAAAAAAAATAAAATATAAAAAAAAAAATTACATAAAAACAAAAAATCAAAATAAATAATACACCAAAAAAAATACAAAAAAATGTAAACAAATATATATGAAAAAAATAACACAAAATCAAAAAAAAAACAAAAAGAAAAAAAAATTAAACAAAAATAAAAAACCAACAAAAAGAAAATATAAAAATAAAAAAATAAAAAATACCAAAAAAGTCAAAAAAAAACAAACTAATAAAAATATCAAAAAAAAAAAGAATAACTAAAAAACAACACAAAAAACAAACAAAAAAAATAAAACAAAAAAAAATAAAAAAAAAAACAAAAAAATATTAAAAAAAAATAACAAAAAACATCACTAAAAAAAATACAAACAAAACGTTAAATAAATAACACATAAAACAAAATAAAAAAAAAAAAAAAAAAAAATACAAAACAAAAAAAATAAAAAAATAATAGAAAAAAAATAAAAAAAAAAAAAAACAAACTCAAAGAAAAATAAGTAAATAAAACAAAAAAAAAAATAAAATCAAAAAACAAAAAACAAAAAAAACACAACAAAACAATAAACAAACAAAAATAATAAAAAGAAAACCTAATAAAAAAAAAAAAAAAAATGAGAAAAACAGAAAACAAAAAAACACACATAAAAAAAAAAAAAAAAAAAAAAAATAACAACAATGAATAATAAAAAAAAAATAAAAAACAACAAATATAAAAAAACAAAAAACATAACAAAAAAAAAAATATAAAACAATAAAAAACAAAAAAAAATAATAAACAGCAATAAAAAAAAAAAATAAAAAAGAAAAAAAAAATATAAACAATCACTGAAAAAAAATAAAAATATAAAAAAACAAAATAAAAATAAAAAAAAAAAAAAAAGAATAAAAAGTACATGAAACACAAAAAAATAATCAAATATCAAAAAAAAAACAAAAAAAATAACAAACAACAAACACAAAAAAACCACAAATAAAACTATCAACAAAAAAACAAAAAAAAGCAATAACAAAACAAACCAAAAACAACATAATGCAAAACAAAATAGAACCAACAAACCAGAAAAAAAAACAGAACATAACAAACAAATCAAAAAAAATAAAAAAACTAAAATAACAATCAAAGATAAAAAAAATACAAATAAAGAACACATAATAAACAAAACACAAATAACAAATAAAAGAAAAAAACAAAAAATAAAAAACAAATCAAACAATCAAAAAACCAACAAACCTAATCAAACAAAAATCAAAAAAAAAATCATACAAACTACAAGAAAAAAAAAAAATTAAAAAAAATAAAAAAAAAAAATTAGAAAACACAAAAAAAATAAAAAAAGAACAACCAAAAACGAAAAAATAAAATCAAAAAAAAAAAAAAAAAACAAATAAAATAATAAATTTGTAACAAAAAAATCAATAAACTAACCAGACAAATAAAATCAAAAACAAAAAAATAAAGAAAATAAAAAATAAAACAAAAATCACAAAAAAAAAAAACAAAAAATAAAAAAAACAAAAATAAAATACAATAACAACATAATCAAAAAACAAAAAATCAATCCAAAAAAACAAACACAAGAAAAAAAAAAAAAAAAATCAAAAATAAAAAAATCAAAACAAAAGAAAATCCAAACCTCATACAAAAACATCATTAATCAAAAAATTACAACAATAGCAACACAACCAGAAAAACTCCAAAAAAAAAAAAACCAAAAGAATACAAAACAAAAAACTAAAAAAAAATATAAAATCACAAAACAAAATAAAAAGAATAAGAGTCATACACAAACACAAATAATACACAACAATCATGAGCCAAACCTCCTTATCAAAAAAACCAAAAAAGAATAAAAAATCAGAGAAAAGAAAAAAACATCAAAAAAATCAAATAATAGAGAATGAAAAATAAAATATCAAAAAAAACACATAGAATCAACAAAATTCAAAGCAAGGATATAATTCAAACAATAAATAAAAAACACAATCTCAAAAAAATACAAAGGAACATAAATAAAAATCAAATCAGAAACTTCAAGCCTAAATAATCAAAAAGAAATTCAAGAATAAACAAATAATACAGCAAAACCGAAAAAAAAAAATTAACCAGACAAATCAGTTAAATAAAAAATTAACAAATAAAGAAAAAAGCATCAATTTTAACTCATAATAAAATCAATATTTTTTCAAAAAAATCAAAATAACTCACATATAACAATTCAAAAAAATAAAGATCAGGCAAAAAAATAATCAAAATATATATAATCAATTTTCAAAAAAAAAAAAGGAAGATTCACTGATCAACTCACAAAAATAAAAATAAGTACTCAAACAAAACGCAAACCAAAAGCCAAAAAAAAATCAATCCAATAATTAATAAATAAAAGAAAAAATACATCAAGAATCAAAAAGCAAAATTATCATCAACAACGCCACAACAAATAAATCAATCAAAACAAAACAACTTATAAAAACAAAATAAACACAAATCATAGAAAAAATCAAATACCAATAAGTACAAAATCTCATAATAATAAAAAAAAGACAAATAACAAAACACAGACAAGAAACTGAATAAAAACAATAATCATATACATAAATGAAAAGTGTAAACATCATAAATATATATGACCTTATTTATATGCCCTCTGCCAACTGTACCAAAGACCAGAAACTTTTACTGTAGAAATAATGAGAAATATTGAGTTAAAGTAGCCATTTTGGTCCAAAATACCTCCAAAATAGTCAAAACATGTCACTTTTGATCTACTGTAACTTTTTAACTGTAAAAAGGTGTGCGACTAATTATCACTGGATTCAATGACCTCAAGATTGTCCTCTACAACCACTGTAATCCAAAGACCAGAACACTTTTACTGTAGAAATATTGAAAATATTGATTTAAAGTAGCCATTTAGGGCCAAAATAGCCTAAAAATTGTCAAAACATGTCACTTTTGATCTGCTGTAACTTTATTACTGTAAAAAGGTGGGGGGGGGTGGGTGGCGACCTTAATTTCCACTGGATTCATGGCCTCAAGATTGTCCTCTACCACTGTACAAAGAAAGACCAGACACTTTTACTGTAGAAAATATTGAGATAAATATTGATTTAAAGTAGCCATTTTTGGTCCCAAAATAGCCTAAAAAAAAATTGTCAAAACATGGTCCACTTTTTGATCCAGCTGTAAACTTATGACTGGTAAAAAGGTGAGCGTAACTAAATTCACTGGATTCATGGCCCATCAGATTGGGTCCCTCTATACCACTGAACCCACTGTATCCGACCCCATACCCCCCCCACCCACACTGTACCCCCCCCCCACCACCACTGTTCCCACCGCCCCAAGCCCCCTCCCTATATACCCACCACCCCCCCCCCCCCCCCCCCCCCCCCCCCCCCCCCCCCCCCCCCCGCCGACTCGACCACCACACATTTGCCTTTCAAACCTGTGGGAAAACACTGGGAATTATATAGTATTGTGCTGGATAGCAACACTGGCTTGATTTCGAACAGGTGGCCCTTTGTAGTTGATGGTGACATAGAAAAACTTGACAATAATAGCAAAAAATTACCATCTAAAACACAGGGTGCATTCACCACATGCGATTAGAACAATTTTCAACAAAGACTAAGTCCTTCTGTCCACAAATATGTGGACCATCATGGTTTAGGGGCAGTCCAGAACAATAGTTGTTTTTAAATTGTAATTATTGGTAAAATTTTACATGTCCATGACCAAACTTACATTAACATCACTTATAAAACTATCTGAACAAGAATAAATCTTTGAAATCGGGATTGGAAATTTTTACTTGGATGGATTTTTGTGTTGGGAACTTGCATGTGAACTTTTCCGGGCGCGGTCAGCCCATTTTGTTTTGTGTTAGCTTGTGCTGTAATTCCTCCAACCACTGCTAGAGGGCATGTAGGTATTGCTGTATGTGGACCCCAGGCCCCAATAATCAGGATGAAGTATTATGTTTGTACAGCCCAAAATGTGATGTCCACACATGTGGACGGCAGGTCTTAGGAGGTACTTAAACTTGGCACGAAACTTTGACTCTTAAAACCCACATGTGACAAAACGGAACCCACCAACATCTCGCCCTCAAATTGCATTAAAAGTGACATTCGTGTCTTAATATCGTTTTTTCGTTAGTATTTTAACTTTAAAGACATTCACGGGTCCGCCATCTTGGAATGCTTCGGCTGCCGTGAGACGCGCATGCGCAGGTTTGCATTACATCATAAACAGCTGAGGCAGTGCATCTCTTCAAGGAAGTGTATCCGGCGTTACAAAACCGGCACCAGTACAGACCTATTGGGAGAGGATTATCGCTGTAATGGACTAGAGGAGACGAGGTGAATGACTCCGATACCGCGGAGATTGATGAGCCCACCTCAGGCAGCAACACAAACACAAAAACACACACTGGGATGGTGAGTCTGCAGTGATGTACCTTTTGAGGTTAGGGTTCTCCGAGCCTGAACCGCACATAAATGAAAAGACACTGAGTAGATTTACAAAGCACTAGAGAAAACCAGATCCAATTTTATGCCTATATTGGGTTTGAATAATTCTTGTACACTTTCTGTGAATGATATAAACTTTAGTGTCGCAATTATCACGGTGTTTGTCTCCTATATGGGACATTTACACTGCAGTTTCTCATCCAAACAACCAATGATTTATAAAAGTAAATCCTAAAAATTGTTAGGGGTGCTCAAACTTTTTCGTCTATTTGTCATAGCTGGATCGAACAGGACCGAACTACTTCTAACACTGGCTTGTAAACCCCCCGTAATCGCATTGGAGAGGGGCGCAACTATGTGTAAGGCTGCAACAGTCGCAACCAACATGGAAACAACTATACTAGTGCCCTGACTCACAAATGGAAAATATTGCAATCAGGTAGAATCATGATTTCCTTTACAGACAGCGTATTATCATGTTGCGTTTTATAAATCAGTTGTTCCCTGTGTTTAGACTTCTGAAACAGGCTTGGAAATGGAAGCATCACTGCAAATAGTTAACATCGATAGTGAAAAGATAATACACTTCAATTGGTTGTGTTATCTGATATTGAAATAGGCACGGTCCATTTGTATATACAGTATAACTTCATGCCACAGTGGGATTTTAAATGGAAACAGTGAAAAAATTGCCAAATAAAAAATACATAATTAAAAAAATCCACTGGTAACTCCAAGTTCAAATACATATTAACTAACCCAAGACGTTTTTTTTCCCTCCCCCCCACACAAACTTTGCATATTGCCCCTTTACTACCTGCCCAGTCTAATATACTGTACCACCAGCAACATGTGTTGTTATTGTTACCAGAGCCCTCGACCAGAATACACAATATCCTTGTGATTTCTAAACATAATATTTCACCAGGTCTGTCAATGACGCCCTGGACAAGAGCAAAATATACAAATGCAAAACTGAGAGTTAGGCTCAAGAGGCCAAGACAAAACTTCATCTCCACTGTTCCTCACATTTGTTAAGCATAAAGCAAATACGAAGGTTTCTTTTGATCGGCATGTCTATTGTTGTTCTATTTTCTCCTTTACCCCGACCTGAATTCAAACACTATCCTCCATCAGTAATCTGAATTTGAATGATTTCTATGAGTGCCATAAATAGTTTTTGGCATTTTCCTTTGAGTGTCATCGCGCCGCAGCAGTGAGTGCTGTCGAGCCCCCGCCCACACTGCCACCTGCTTTGGTGGTTTCCCTGAGTGCGCAGGCAAATAAAACCTAGATAAAGCCTAATGGTAGAAGTCTATGTGTTTATTGTTTGATATGTTATGATTTTTACAGAGACAGTGGTAAAATAAGCATTAGCCAAGTTAAAGATGCATTGTGCCACTTTAAAATGCAGTGCTAATTTACACCTGTAGTCCCTGAGCAGGTTGATGTCACAGTAAAACCAAAGTAGAAGGACCACACATTACATACATTTTATACATTATCAGACAGAGGTTTACAACTTGATTTAACAAGTTAGACTAAAACTCCCCACCCAGCCCCCCACTTCGCTCACTTCTGCTTCATAGCTCACACTCACAAAAACCAAGCTCACACACACCTCACGCATGGGAACAGAGTTATCTTTCCAAAAGTCATTTTTTGGTCGGGCACACAAGATTAGATTATATACAAATACATTTTATTCAGTGCATGTGGGATCTCAGTTGGAAGTGAGCACCATATACCGTTGTACCATAGTCCTACATTTACACATTTCATTTCCCTGCCATGTTGCTCTTTCATGAACACATTGCTTTACCCTCAAAACTGTATTTTTAATAAGTAATTTAAGTAAGTAATTTTTATAAGTAATTTTTTTGAAGTTTGAAATACACACTTACTTCTATTTAAGTAACATGTAAGTATTTTTTCCTCGTATCAGCACTTTACTCATAATTTTTCTGACCAATTTGTACTCCTCACTTTTAAGCCCAAATATCAATACTTTCTACATTTTTCTCGTGCATTTCAAAATTAATAGTTAGTTTGTAAGAGAGGACATAATATGAAACCGGTTTTCAATCGTTAGCCGTGCTTCTAAATTCATGAATTTGTTTGCTAATTTGCTTCTATAGTTCTGATTTTCTACATGTGTGTTTATTATCTGCACTGTTGTATGCATTAAATGAACTGAACTGCAGCCTCACCGTAGTGTGGGATGATAGCCCAGGCCATGGCAGAAGCATAGATCCCTCCAATCATCCCAGAACATACACAACCAGCTCAGGTGTTCCCCTCGTTTTTCTCGAGCCAGTACCTCAGCGAAGAAGGAGAAGACTATGGGCACAGCTCCTCCAATCCTACACAAGAACAATTCAATCATTGCATTTACCTGTAACCTCTGTACCGTCAAAATATCTGACTCAAGGTCTATCTATCTATCTATCTATGTGGATATTTTGTGTGCTTTTGGCAAGTAAACAATTAATAAATAATGTAATGTATAAAGGATTACACTGTTTTATTTCTGTACTTTTAACCTTGCCCTATGTACGTACTTGTCCGGTGCACACTGGGGACTTTTGCAAATGTATTCCAGTGTGGTTTGCTGCAAATGGGGCAAATAAAATGAATCTGATGTGCTCTGTAACGATGATTTCTGCCGCTACATGTCCAGTTGCAAAAGCAGATGTGTTTACTGAATCATGGACACATCAGGAGCCATTATATCTGTCTCTGACTCGAGAACGACGTGCGAATAAGAACCAGACCGAGCCAGACTGAGCCTTCGCCGCTGATGCCGGGGCTATCACTGTTTTTTAAAAATTACCTTTCTGCACATAAAAAACGGTAGGAGCTCACTCCGAATCCAGACACCCATGCGGCAGAAAGAGGAACATGCTGTACCCCTGGACAAAGGAAGACAAGAAGGCAAAGAAGCCGTTGACCCGACAGAGAAGATGAGCAGGATCTGTCTGCGGCCCGCTCTGTCCGACAGGCCGCCCCCAGAAGAACGCCCCCACCATCATCCCCAAGTACACTATGCTCCCTGCAGAAGACACCACACAGGGAGAAATGTGTCAGCACAGAAGGAAGGAAACAATGATCAAAATAATGCAATCCACTTTTTTTATATAGCACGTTTTATAATACAAGTCACCAAAGTGCTGCACGGAGATAAAATCAACACACATTTATATATGCACAGATAATAATAAAAACAATACAATACCAGTTAACAATAACCATGTGATATAAAAACGATAAAATTCTAGTTATGATAAAAAAGAATAAAAAGAGGACCACACAACTCATGCGGTGGTTAAAAGTCAGAGTGAAAAAAGACAAGACTTAAAACACTCCACAGAGGAAGCTGTTTTGACAAACCCTGGTATATATTTTTGACTCATTCGTTTGAACTCCGGCTGGCCCGCAAGACAATGTTTAGTGGCCTCAGATTGATTTTGTAATATTATGATTATTATTTTCATTACTTGCTGCGTTGATGATGATGGGGCTACCAAGGCTTGTTATACGTTATCTATTTTCTCAGGAAAAAAAAATCACATTTAATTTATTTCATTCCATCCAAACATCTTCCGCATTTATCTGATTGCCAGGTTTGCAGGGGCAGCAGTCTAAGCAGAGACTTAATTGACTTTATTCTAACATTTGAACCCAACACATAAAGAGAAGAAGAATTGTTATAAAATATGGGTTTAACTTTAGATTTTGGCCCATTTTTGGTAAATCAAACAATAAACACATTTAAGAAAAAAACAACCAGAAAAAAATAATGTCAGTTTATAGAGATGACAAAATACCTTCAACATGTAAAAAAACAAAAAACAAAAAAAATACATAAGTAAAGGAAATCCCTTTCATTCAGGCCCCAGAACCACTTCCTGTTCTGCCCCTGAACTAAATTAGTTTGGAATCTCTGCTTTAACACCTAGAACTCCCAGAGCAGTCAATTTGACGGCAGTGTACTACATGTATGGTTTTCATAACTTTGTGACTTTTCTGTTTCTATATGTAGTTTATATCTACGCCATTATTTTCATGAAATTATATAGTTAATGTTGAAAAATGAGCAGTTAGTTAGTTACCATAGCAACACACTGTCAACACACATCTGTCAGCATTGGTAGCCGTTCAACCACAGACTGTAAATATAAAAACACATATTAATTCCTTGAAAGTTGATGTCTCGGAATTCCATTGTTTTTGAACAGGAGGAGTCAAAATGACTTAGAATTATAGAATTATAGTTTAATAATTCTAGGGTTAAGTGTAAAACTATTATCTGTCTTATATTTTTGTGCACTCTGTGTGAGGACGGCCGGGGTTTGTCAGTATATAATCCCGGCTCTTCTTTACTAATAAAAATGCTAATGTGGTCTGAGGAGATGAGTCCGCGAGACCATGAGAAAGAACTTTGTCTTTTATGGCTGTGGAGGAGGTGCTGCTGCTCTTATCAAGCTGCACAGACATGATGCTTGGACCCACAGCCATTTGTTATTAGTGACAGCTGCAGCAGCGCACTTAGTCCACCAGAAATGCACAATCTTCAGAATCGCATTACAAATACAAAGAGTGGATTTAGTGCAGACTGAGTGAGTGATGCTTTTGACACAAAGAAGGAATATTTCTGCTGTAAGTGAGAAGAGAACGGTCGTCAGCAGCAAAACTGAAGCAGAGCATTATGGAGGAGTCAGTCTCATAAACAAATAGTGCCTAACGTGTTAAGTGTTCTTAAATATGCATTGTTCAAATGTTTAAAAATAGAAAGAGGTAATTTGCAATCTCATTGCTGAGAGTTATGGGTGGATACAGTATGTAATATGCTCAGTGCTCCTAATTCTGAAATGTGAAGAGATGGCTCAGCTCTTACCAGGGTCTCAAATACAAATACTTTGTTCAGTATTTTAATTACTTAAAGTATCTAGTCTAACATGTGAAAATGATTTGTGTACGTTAAAGGAGAAAGTAAAATTATTAATTGGAAGTTTGAGTAGTATTTCATGTGATAATGACATTTGTTATTTATTAAAGGAGAGATTATGATGTTTGTTTTCCTTCCTCATTGAGTCAAATTAGCATACTACACTCAGATTTTCCCTCCGTCAAGGGTCTTTTGTTCACACGTATTAAATAAAACAATTATTGTTGCTGCACTATTATTAAACTGAATATTACAGACACAAGCTCAACAGTGTCTGTTGTATCACAGTTATTACGCTGTTAGCCTTGATGCTAAATCTGAGCTTTAACAAAACTAACACAAACATCCTAGTTAAAACTGGCTTTCTTTCTTTCCTGCATCAGTGAAAAACAATCTCCACAGACGAGTGGAGAGATGAGAGACTGTCCATGATGTGTTCAGACTCCCACAGGAGTTTCTGTGAGACACAGATGTGCAGCGTGCAGCAGGAGAAAGGATGTGAGAGAGTGTGATGTTCAGGTGCTACTTTCATCAAACCACAATCATCCTGGAGAGGGAGGTTCTCACACAATGACACACAATTTCAACATACATTGAACAACTTATACCTGAACGGTGTAATTCAATAGGAATTGAACATATAATCACAGCGCTCTGTACAAAGGATCAAAGTCCATAAATAAACACATGGAGTTAAGAAAGGGGGGGGGGACGACTAAGAAGCAGCCGTATTCAGGAGGAGGGACATTGGTCATTCTACCATGACTGGACTGCAGAGGAAAACACATGGTCACTGTACCATGTGTGGACTGCAGAGGAAAGCACATGGTCAATGTACCATGTTGTGACTGCAGAGGAACACACATGGTTAATGTAATAGGCCCGTTTAGACGGAGACGCCGCGGAGACGCTGCACAAGCAATCAACAAACCACAACCAGCTCCGTAGTGCACGGAAATCCGAGGTAGTTCTAGTGCCCGGCCAGTAGGGGACAGTGGAACTTTACTACACGACATGTGCGACCCCCCAGCAGTAGAATCACTCACGCCCCTGAAACTCTGCCTTCATGTGAACGAAAAGCCAATTTGTCACCCAACGTTTTACTCTGCAGAGCGTCCTGGTGTAAACGGCAATATTAGTCTGTGAGATCGGTGCTGTCAAATCATGTGCTGCAGACACCCGCAGTCGGTCAATTATAGTAGACCCTACACCTACATATTACACACAAAATAAAGTGTAGATAAACTTGTGAATGGAGAGTTTGAAGTGGCTGGAATTTCAAAGTAAATCCAAAAAATCAAACAGTGCCTCAGTTGGTGGAGCATTGGGGTTTGAGCCTGAAGGTCGTGGGTTCGAGCCCACCACAAGCATTCTCCTTCAACTCCCACCGATGTCTGCTGTCATTTTGTCCTTGGGCAAGACACTCGACCCCACTTTGCCTGAAGCCCCCGCTGAAAGATCAAGGCTCCCGTGGACTCACCACCTGCAGGAGGATCAGTGAGGGGCTGGTGCTCTGTGTACTGCCACCCCCGACCCAGGAATGGATTAAGGGGAAGAAAATGGATGGATGGCTTCTGATTTTTTGCAGTTTTTCCGTAGAAATCCTTTTAATTTAGATACAACTTATCCTTCAACTGACTAAAGACTGACAGACCTAAATTGAACATGTATTTGTCCCTTCAGTGCAGCACCTGGGGACCCATCTCCAGATGTTGATCAGAGACTTCGCTGGAGGATTTTACCAATAGTGCATGTTTTAGAGAAAATCCAGCAAGAAATGAGGAGAAACCTGCAAACTCCACACAGACACAGTGCTGATACAGGGATTGAACCTACAACCTTTTTGCTGTGAGGCATGAGCACTGCCCACACAGCCAGCGCCTGACCCACTGTCCCAGAGCCACTCAGTCTAGAGGAAAGTAAAGCTGTTTGTGCCCAACCAGGTTCAAGGTTGATTTTCCTTTAATTCATACACAATCAGAGAGTGCCTTTCATAGATGGATTATCCGACTCATAAGATCAATATCTGAGATCAAAACACAAGAATTGATCTAATCTGCAGGGAAGGTTGTGCTTATTTTTATTTTGTATTATTATTATTCAGGTAGATTTGTTTCTCCTTTCTCTATATTCATTATCATTATTATTATTGTTATTATGTTTTTTTTGTCTCCTTGTCTTTGTGATTTGTTTGTTCTATTTGTAGTTGTAATTTTGTGTTTTTTGTGTGTTGCCCGTAGCTTTTGTATGATTTGGTATTTCTTTTTTGTGCAAGCCTTATTCTATTTTTACTTTTATGACCGACTGAGAGCCTGAGCTGTTTCCTAGTTTGTGACTTCTTGTTTCTCACAATAGCAATGAAAGAAATTATTTTTTTGATTCTGATTGTCTCTGTCTGTGCTTTGTCTGTACCATGTCTGTCTGTCTGTTCTGTCGGATGTTCATGTTGGTCCATCCACTTTTGTCTCGCCATTTTTATCGATTGATGCCTGTATGATTTCTATTGGTTGCAGGGGAAATTGTTTTTGGCTGTAGTTGGGGCATCTTTTTTGTTTTGTTATTACCAACCAACATGAGTTGTCAGACCTTGAACTAATGCAAATAAAGCCAATTACTGTATATAAATGCATAAAAAAGACCTGAGTGGTGCGGGTCCTTACCTAACCATCCAGCCCCAGAGTTGGGCACACACATGTCGGTCTCGGCGCTGGGCAGCACGAAACCCACTACGAACACTTCTACCCCATCAGACATCAGCGCCAGGCCCAGGACGAAGTAGAGCTGCCACTGGAAGCGTCCGTGGCCACACTCCTGCAGGATGAGCTCATACTGCTGGGCCAGCTCCTCTTCGTCGGCCTGCCTCTCGTTCTCCAGATCCTTTTGACCTTTGTGGGAAGCCGGCTCTGCTCCCGGTGCCGTGTGTCCGTCCGAGGGTTTGCCCTGGTACTCCCCTTCGTAGACCTCGTCCTCGTCGTCGTGGCCCTCTGTGGCATCGCTGGACCCTCCTTCGTCGTTGTTCTCGCTCTCTCTGTAATGTTTATCCTGCTGCTGGTAGCTGTACTCTTCCTCGTTTTCGTTGTTGAAGCGGTTGTAGCTGCGCTGAGTCGAGTATTCGTCCGAGGCTCGGTCCACAGCCTTGGACATGTTTCTGGCTGCTTGTCTCTTGGCCTCGTTGGCAATGTCCCTGGCACCTTTGGCCAAGGAAGTCCTGTTTTCATCCATTATGGCACAGTCGTTTTTTTATTCAAACTATAAAACGTAGAAGGCTAGAAAAACCAAGTGCACTATAGCTTTACTTGAATGTCCAAAAATGGATTGTAAGATTTCTGCAGTGTCATTATACAAGAATAGTCCAAATTCACCGAAGTGGAGACAGCATCAGTCTGTGAAGAAGCAGAAAACATGGGTAATCATTCTGAAAGTGCAGACACTAAAATACTGAGACAAAACCATACATAATATTTGACTACTTGGATGTCATGCAGCACAAGGACAGATTCAATAAAAGGGCTATACTTTTCAGACTGCCCTTAAACAGTCACTTCTTCTCAAGACATTATTTCATTCCTCTTGCTCATGAAATGACAAAGTATAAAGTCTCATTATTATTTTATTGGACGAAAAAAAATGCGTAATAATTCTTCTTAAAAACAAGAATCACATTTTAGCACAAATTCCAATGAACAGTGCATCTCCTACAATACACACCCTAATGTCAAAATGTTGCATTATGTAGAATTATACCATGATGCACTGCTACTGGTGTGTAAGTAATGTGGAGGAGCAGCGGCTCTGTTCTGAGCTTCTCCCAGATTGCACATTATTATTGGCAGAAGAAACTCATTTTGACTTCATGCTTATGTTCCCGGGTTTATACATTCCTTGGATAGAGCTGATCGGCAGATGAGAATAGGACAGTTGAAGTTGAAGTTGTGGAGATGGGGCTATGATCTTCGTGACAATCACACACACGCATACTTTGATCAGCTATCCCTCAAAGTTGTCTAACTTTTATGCCAATCAGGCTTTCTGCAACAAATACGTCCAAAATAATGACATTTAACGCATCAAAGCACATTCCCCGTCACCTAACTCCATTTTGCATTTTAAATCATCCTGAGACCGGGGCTGCGTTGATTACAACACGGAGAGGCTCATATGTTTCCAGCAGAGAACACTGAGTCGGTTCAATGACTTGCCTTGTACAGTGGAGACGCATCTTCCGGAGTGGTGCGCGTCCGGGAGCGTGTCAGAGAGGAGGATCCGCATCTCTCCTCCTGATGATCCGATGCAGCGCGGCTCACTGCAGTCCTGGAGAGGCACGAGTCGGAGGAGGGAGGTGGTGCTGTAGTGGTGGGGGGTTGGGGTGCACTAAAGACTATATATGTGCGAGATGGACACAACAAGGCAGATTGAAAAGGAATCTATAGAAGCCTGTTTTCTCCCCACGTCTTTCCCGGTGCAGCGATCCGTCAGTGAATATCCAGAGGTTTAGATGCGCAGTCAGAGCTGGTGAATACTGCCACATTCACCAAACAAAGAAAGCGCAGCGTAGAAGTTAGTGGTGCATGGATCTGTCTGTGCACAGGAGTTTAGGAGAGATTGTATAAAATGGCCCTATAGTCTGGCCATTAGAACAGATAGGATCATCAAATGTATGTGATCCGAAACTTTATCATGATTACCTCGCTAAGACATACAGTAACCAATGTATATTGTAGTAGCGTGTGTGTGTGTGTGTGTATGTCTGTGCGTGTATGTATTAAATATGTGTTACCCGTAGACTGTAAATATGAATAGTGTTTCCTTATTTGACCATTTGCAATGTGTGTGTGTGTGTGTGTGTGTGTGTGTGTGTGTGTGCTTGCCTTTGTAAGTGTATGTGTGTGTATGTCTGTGCGTGCATGCATTAAATATGTGTTACCCACAGACCGTATGTATGACCCATAGACTGTAAATATTAATTGTTTCCTCAGTTTTTACCATTTGCAATGTGTGTTTGTTTGTGCGTGTGCGCGTGTGTGTGTATCATTGTGTGTGCATGAGTATTCCATCTAAATGTGGTGTGTATAGTGGAATGTGAGGAATATAAATATTTCTGTTTGAAAATTCTGCAATCATCTCCATCTTTTCCTCCGCTGGTATTCTCCCTTTTGAATAATTATACATTAGATATTATTCCAGGCTAAATGTCAACGTATTTAATTGGTTGTAATTTTAGCCTATATTTTATACATAATCATTCATAAAACCATGATTAGAAGCTGCTATGGGACAATATGCCACTGAAGATTTTACAGAGGATGGTAGAACTGTATTTCTTTATTCTATTACTCGTATAAAGGTATGTATCTGTATCTGGGAACAAAACTCTAAAACACTGCACTCACCTGGAGACATCAGTGACAGCAGCTGCAGAATTGAATTGGCCTTTTTGAACTCTTCTGTGCTTTGGATTGACGGAATAACCCCACGTTTATTAGTTAGACATTCTGATCTCACATATATCTCAGCAATACACTGACAGACGTGAGGGCTTAGTTTGAGTTGAAGCTAATATGTTCAATATAAAACCACATTTTATAGCAGCTTGAAATTTGAATTACTACATGGGAAAAAAATCTATGTTGCTCTGCGTTTAATGAGAATAGATACTTGATGCCAGAAAAAATAAACTTACAAATGATAATATATTTAAACAATTGTGAATAAATGATTGGTGAACAAGTGGCACAGTACATGTTTAAGCCAGATCCTGCTTGACCTATGAAGCTAAGCAGGGCTGGCCTGGTTAGTACTGTGATGGTAGACCTCTGGAACCACCGAAAAAGCGTATTGTGTCTTTGGGCAAGACACTTTACCCACTTTGCACAGAATGAGTTTGATGTGTGCGTGGATGGTTGGTGGTGGTCAGAGGGCATGTATGGTTGCCTTGCTTTTGTTAGTGTGCCCCAGGGCAGCTGGGGCTACAATTGTATAGTTTATCCCCAGTGTGTATGGAGTGAAGTGTCTTTGAGTGTCCAAAATGAAGCTTAAGCGGAGCTTAGACCAGGCTATCCACGCCTTACTCAGCCTGTCATGATCGACTCATCAACTCCCTGCAGCCGTGTCAATCAAGCCAGCGTTTAAAAGCAAAGCAGAGCACAGCTCATCAAACGGACTTTCAAGCAGCAACCACCTCCGCCTCAGGATTTCTTCACTCTCACATTCACCTTGCCTTGTTGCCACCACCAGTGTCTAGGCCCCGGGGATCATGATCTGCACCCAGGCGCAGATCCCTTCAGAGCACGGCCACAGCCGGGGCCTAAGCTCCAAACCAATAAACAAACTCAATCCATAAAATCTCAAACGCATAAAAAACTCTTAAACGCATCTTGTCTCTTGTAGTTTCTCCAGGTTGAAAAAGCACTAAAACTGATGCATTATTATCATGATGAGGACTGCTTCTGAATAACAGGCTCTGTCACAGCTAAAATGTGGGCCACGGCGTCAGCTTTGAAGACCTACTGCTGACAATAATAATAATTAAAAAATACATACATTGACCACACTGTTAGGCTGCAGAGTTCACAGGGACAGTACATCTGTGATCGTAGACTAAGATATACTCAACAAACCCCACATTCCCAGGTGAAGATTTTCCATCAGCTATAGCCATCATATTACAAAATAAGGCAAGCGTTTGGTTTATTAAAAGTCTTGACACATTAGGCACAAGATATTTATAGATATCACAGAAGGCATGAAGTTCCCAAGTCTGATCTGAATCTCTAAATACACGTTGTTTTGGGGAATGCTGTTGAAAACCAGTAAATGATGGGGATATGTTTAGATGTGTTGGATTTTCATGTGATGGAAATGTAAACAACTTATCAGCTTTGCTCTGTTAAAATCTACAGAACAAATTGACTTGTATATCGGGTTTATCATGGAGACTTGGCAAAGACTTATAGTTGTGATTATACTGCAGCTCAAAACGTTCTTCTGCTTCACAGACGCAGCATCACTCCATCATTTGACATGCTCCGATAGTGACACGATAATTACTTTTACACATCTCTCCCAAAATATAAATGATGCAAAGAAGGTTTGGGTGTAGAGAGTTATGAGCACACACACCCACACGCACACACACACACACACACACACACGCACACGCACACACATTCATATAGACACACACACACACACACACACACACACACACACACACACACACACACACACACACACAGAGACATACACACACACACACGCACACACACACACACAGAGACATACACACACACGCACACACACACACACACACACACAAGTGCCATGTTCAATCTATTATCCATGGGTTTTAAAGGAACGACCAAAACTGAAAAATGCTTTCCTTTGAAAGGGAAAATATTTCTCAGATGTTGCTTCAAGCCCTTGAAAGGGCAGAGTTTGTAGCAGGAGATTTCGATACTTGAGTTTTGTCTCTATATCACAAGCCTAACGCCCTCTTGTGGTGATAATGAGTATCACTTCCCAGTAATATTGTTGTATGAAAAATCTTTTATCCGTCCACTGATAACAAGTCACATTTAAAAATCCTATATGACTTTACAGTTATTGAGTTATTCTTATATACTTCACGTTGTATTTTACTGTTCCACTTTGTCTTTGTGTTTTTGTCGTTCTTCTTGTGTTTCCTCTTTCTGCTTTGTCGTATCTACTAATCTATTTTGCCTTTGTACTATCTGTTCTGTATTGTCATTATTATTATATGCATGGTTTTCAAACAGAGGATCCAATCAGAGGGCAGAATGAGTCCCTAATTTCGGCTCCAGTTTGTTAGAAGGTAAGTATTCAAAAACATGTCAATATTGTTACTCTGTTTTTGTGAATACCTGTAATTATTGTTGTCTTCACTGGTGTTTTTATCGTGTTAATGAAGGTTATTGAAGTCAACACCTGTAAAATCATCTAAATGAATCAATGGAAGAAAGATGCAGCGCTCTCACTAATCTACACCACATCTGCCTGAAACTTCTGTGTGAATCTATGAACAAATATGTTTGAGTTTATATTTATATTTATTCTTATTGTCTTTATTTTATTTTATTATTATTATTATTTATTATTATTATTATTTCTTAATAAAGTGCAATATGTGATTGAATTTTAGGGAAAAAAAACACCCCGATAAACAAAATCCCGATTTAAAACGCCTTTTAATGAAAAGAGCTGAAATGGAGAATTAGAATCTCCCGCCACTAGAGGGAGACATTGTTCGGGTTGTTTAAAAATCCGCTCGAACGTCTCCTTTAATTAAGAACATCCCCATCTGCTGAAATCCGCTGTTTGTTTTCTCTTCACTGCAGGATCCTTGACAACAACCTGCGTCTGATTCTTTGGGATCAGAAGATCAGGATGTTGTTCCCAAAAAGCTTCAGACACAATCACTTAAAATAACTTTTCTTGATGCCAGAAAAGAAGGTTACAATTACTTCAAAAACGAATTGTGAGTGGATGTTAGGACTTCTTCTCAATAGGCTCTGTCTCAGTTAACACTTCTGAAACTACCAGAACTCTCTCAGAAGCAGTCATTTTGACGGCTCCCATTCGAATGAATGGAATTCTGGAAAAAATCCCAATAATGCAGTTATTATTTTTTCACTACTTTTATTAAAATCAAGTCATTCATACTGTTTGAAACAGGCTAAAACTGTGAAATATACTGAAATACATCAAAACTAAATACTAAATGCTGCAAGTAAACAGTGTGTTTCTATGGTAACCAGCTCTGAACCTCCCTGTGCTCCTCTTGTTGACAGTCCATCGTCTTTCCCTTTAGGTCTTATTCCTGTTTATAGTTTGTATTGTATCGTTTTTTTATTATCCACGAGTTGTTTTTGTTTCATTAAATCACACTTATTTTGCATTTTGGATCATTCTTTCTTTTTGAACTGGGACACTATCGTATCTCTCTAAACCAGTAATTCCCCAGCCTTTAAGAGTTGTGGCACTGCTTTTTCATTGTAAACAATCACATGGCGCACCACTGCCTCAAACTGATACAAAAATTAAAATTAGATTAGGAGATTAAGAGATTGTACCACAGTCTTCTGGAACAGTCTTTCAGAAAATACGAGACAAGCTTTCCCTCTGACAATGTTTTAATCCAGGTTATGTAAGTAATCTTTATTTATATAGAGTCAAAAAGCACTTCACAGTTGTTTTTTGTTGGGGGGGTTTTAAGAGTCCATGTTTTTAGTGGTAGTGGAAACTGGACACCCGGAGTAAACCTATTCGCAGACACGCGGAGAACATGCAAACTCCACACAGAACAACCTGGAGGTGGAATCAAACCCAGGACCTTCTTGCTGTGAAGCACAAGCGCTAACCACCGTTACTAACCTGCACAAAAACTGTTCCTAATCTTTTCATATCATTGTCTCTTCACATTATTTTTGACCAATTCTGTGATATTAGAACATTTCCAAAGGCACACTAAACCACATCTCATGACACACTAACGTCCCACGCCCCACTGGTTGAAAAACACTGAACTAATCCATTAGAATTCACGGATTAACAAATTATTCTACCGTCAGATTATTTACAGCGTCCCTAAAATCACCCCCAATACCCCATATGTGAGCTTCCAGACCCATGGGATTGTCGCTCAGGGGTTTCAACTTCTATTTTGAGGATGAAACTATAAACAGAAGGAGGAGCCAGGCCTGGATTATGTGACGCGTCTCAGCCAGCGCCCCTGCGTAGTGCGCGCCCTCGGTCAGCTGAACATGGCGTAATCCCCGTTTGATCTGACGAGGAATTTACGGGAAACGCTGATCTGTCATTTGCCCAAAACACACACAACAGACCGGGATCACCGAGCAGAAGACCCCGCGGAGGACATATGGTGCCACTCTGAAGGGACGAGAAGAGAGACGGAAGGACGCAATTGAACGCACAATGCGGATTACGACGTCTGGTTATCAACGGTAAAATGATATACGTGACTATACTGCAACATGGCTCGTCTACTATAGGCATGGTTAAAGCTCGGGTCCCTAATGTTTTATGCTGTGTTTTCTAGGTGATCCATTTGACAGCGTTGCGACGACGTCAGTGTGCGTGCCAAATCCAATAACCGATTTCAGCGTTTCAGCTCTTGAGTCTATCTATCGTTGAGGACATGTCAGACAATCAAAGCTGGAACTCATCTGGGTCAGAGGAGGACCTGGACTCCAGAGAGGAGCTGGACCGAACCGCAGCCGCTATAGGGGAGTTCAGTGGAGTCCTGAGTAAGGTAAGGTGTTTGTAGTGAAGCGTGAATTTGTCTTTCCATGGTGCTAACTTTGCCTAACTCTGCTGATTAGAGGCCTGTTTACGGTGACTGGGTTTGGTTCTGGTTCTGGTTTAGTTCAGGACATAGAGTTTAGTCTCAGTTTTGCCGCATGTGCTCGTGTGAACTGTTGCAGCTGCCCACCACCACCAGCTCAGCAGCCTCTGTAGAGTCCAGAGACCAGACCAGACCAGACCTGGGCCAGACCCTTCCCAGTGATAATTTGTGAAAAGTAGTTATTCTTAAGGACTTCAGATTCAGATTAATTTCAGAGCTTCTTAATAGTGCTTTTAAGAGTTTTATATGTGCCTCACTCTGTCTTGCCTCGCTATTTTTATTCTTTTTGTCTGTGTGTTCGTGTGTGCTGGTGCCCCGGTGTCTCCTGTTTGTATTCCAATCCAAATCCAATTGATTCTGACTTTGTAATACATTTGCAAAAGTCTCCTGTGTGCACCAGACACTTTGAGTTTCCATGTGTAACTGTGCTAAACAGAAGTAAACTTCCCTTGCTTTGCTTTACCTTCTGTAAATCAGTCTATACAATACTCAGCCTTCTTGACCTTTTGTCCAGTTTTGGTTCAACCCAAGCCAAACCCAAACGCAATATCAAAACCCATTATCCATACAATGATAATTTGCACAAAGATACCATCATAATATGTATGTAAAAAAAACAAACAAATAGGCACAAAAACAAAGAAAACACTGGATATTTTGGCTCCATGTTTCCCTCTCCGCCTCTTCTTTAAAGCGGGTCCGGCCCTTCACAATATGATGATCTCCACATGTGGTCCCCGAGAGAAAACAATTGCCCATCCCTGTAGTCTAGACTGCCCGCCCTCCTGGCCCCGTCATGTACGGCTGCTCTAAGACAATAAAGATTTTTGTGAAGTGTGTCCTATAATGTACACGTTCTTGTGAAATTGTCCATTTGGAGTAAAGTGCTATGTTACTATTGCCCCAATTTCGGAATCAGAAATTTCATCCAGCTACATGTGGTCACAGACTAGGATTTTTCTTTGACTCATGGTGTAAACAAGTTATAAAAGTTATAAATAGGTAAAAGACATGCATAAAAAATTCTTACTTAATAGCATTTCTTAACATTTATACAAGTGCACACTAAGTACACACAATAGACATTTGACAGTGTTGGTTAAAGTGGCAATAGTTTAATGATGATGACTATTTATGAAAGTGTGTTAATCTGGCCAAAAATAAATAATATTTTCCTTGTTTTAATGCACTGAACAAAAACAAGAAGAGAAAGTGCCTTGTTTTGTTTTCATGCAAATGTAGTTCATTTACCTCAGGCATGACAGACTCAGCCTCCAGGGCCGAATCCAGCTCAGGAGACCAATTTTAGAGGCCCCTGAAATGATTTTTATGTATTACATTAGCTTTAAGCATTGTATGGAAATGGGCTACTATAGCATTTTACACTTTTAAATATGTATAACATCATGAAAACTACCATAAAATGGAATCTGTTCAAAATGTTGAACTTACAGGAAATAGAAGTGTGCAAATACATACAGTTGTGGTTCAATCCAAACTTACCAGAAAATAATGTACAAAATCATGTCAAATAATACTTTGGCCCCAAACAGCTCTTTTGGTTTTAAATTTAGCCCCCAAACAAAATTTGTTTGACACTCTTCATTTAGACTTTTCTTCCACGGTATGATGTAAAACTGAACTCCAAAGAAATCTTTCCATCGGAATCATTTGCATGATTCCATCGGAAAGAAGAATGAACGTACCATTCTTAAAAGTGACGTGTGTTGTGTTAATAATAATCTGTAAACAATCTGATCAGAGCTGCTCCAGCACATTCTGAGATTATCACCTGTAACTAATCTTTCTCTGCCTTTAGGATGACCCTCTGATGCAGAATCCACAGTCACTTCAAAGCTCACTTTCACTTCTTTCTGTTGCAGTGGACAAACTACATCCATGGCTGGCAGGATCGATGGATTGTCCTGAAGAACAACACTCTGAGTTACTACAAAGCCCAAGACGAGACCGAGTATGGCTGCCGAGGGTCTCTCTGCCTGAGCAAAGCTGTCATTACCGTGAGTACCTTTTTCTGATTCTTGGGGCTTTTGAAATAGTTTGGCAAGAGGTGGTTCTGGCCAAACTTTCACATGTTTTGTAAAAGTGGAATTTGGTGAAGAAACCACGGACACAATCATTACTTTAGAGGCATTCGTAAGAGATGGTCATGATGGTCAATCATTTTACACATAGCATATTAGAGAGTTTTTAGAGGTAGGGGAAACCGGAGCACCCAGAGGAAACCTTTGTAGAAACGGGGAGAACATGCAAACTCACTTAATATTGTATCACTATCACTGTTTGGATATCAACAAGAAGAGTGGCTATACCTGTACGTGAAAGCCAGATCCCATTAGACTTCTCAAACTAAGCAGGACAGGGCCTGGTCAGTACTGTGATGGGAGACCTCTCAGAACTCCAGGTGCCACAGTGGGGCAGCTGCGGTTGTAAAGTGCCAAACTGTTTTTGTGCCCGTAGGCAAGACACTTCTTCTCCTACATTGCCTAGAATGAGTCTGGTGTGTGTAAATGTTATTATTATTACTCTTTGCATTATTGGGTGATCAGTATAAAAGCACATTCGTTTTCAATAGGTTTCATTCATGTTCTATCATTTAAATGTAAAATCAGCTGCTAATTCTAATACTAAGACTGTATTTTACGGCCTTTGGCTTGAAATCGTTCACACAATTGCAAGTTTTGTTGCAGGATGCACTTTTCCTTTAGCATCTGACTCACTTCACTAAACTCGAGATAACTCCACGGCCTGTTTTTAGAAAAGCAGAAACATGACGCGTAAGTGAGTGATGGAGATGGTGTTATACCCAGAATACGTGACCCAATACTCTATCATGTGAGTTCCCTTTGGCTGGAACTGAGCACATACAAAAAACAATGTTGCTAATGCTTCTGTGGTTTCTTGTTCAACCGTTTTCACTTCCCTTGTGATTGCGGTCGCCCGTGTTGCTAACCAGTAATGTACTACTCCCGTTGCAGCCTGTTCCGTTTTATTAGTCTTTTCTTGTGCTGTAAGTTCTCTTTTCTTTCTTATTGTACGCTGAGCACTATTGAGAATGTGAATCCATCAAGACGGTCTGTTTGCTGTCACTTCTCCACAATCCTAGACTATATTGGAGCCTGTTTCTTCATAATACATTAATGCTGCAGGTTGAGTTTCACATAGTTTCTGAAATGGGACCCCTGCTACAGCCTGAGTCCTGGATCTATGGCCTCACCTGAGTCCTGGATCTATGGCCTCACCTGAGTCCTGGATCTATGACCTCACCTGAGTCCTGGATCTATGGCCTCACCTGAGTCCTGGATCTATGACCTCACCTGAGTCCTGGATCTATGACCTCACCTGAGTCCTGGATCTATGCCTCACCTCCTGGATCTATGCCTCACCTGAGTCCTGGATCTATGACCTCCACCTGAGTCCTCACCTGAGTCCTGGATCTATGACTATGGCCTCACCTGAGTCCTGGATCTATGGCCTCACCTGAGTCCTGGATCTATGGCCTCACCTGAGTCCTGGATCTATGGCCTCACCTGAGTCCTGGATCTATGGCCTCACCTGAGTCCTGGATCTATGGCCTCACCTGAGTCCTGGATCTATGGCCTCACCTGAGTCCTGGATCTATGGTCCTGATTGGCCCACCTGAGTCCTGGATCTATGGCCTCACCTGAGTCCTGGATCTATGCCTCACCTGAGTCTGGATCTATGGCCTCACCTGAGTCCTGGATCTATGGCCTCACCTGAGTCCTGGATCTATGGCCTCACCTGAGTCCTGGATCTATGGCCTCACCTGAGTCCTGGATCTATGGCCTCACCTGAGTCCTGGATCTATGGCCTCACCTGAGTCCTGGATCTATGGCCTCACCTGAGTCCTGGATCTATGGCTCACTCACCTGAGTCCTGGATCTATGGCCTCACCTGAGTCCTGGATCTATGGCCTCACCTGAGTCCTGGATCTATGGCCTCACCTGAGTCCTGGATCTATGGCCTCACCTGAGTCCTGGATCTATGGCCTCACCTGAGTCCTGGATCTATGGCCTCACCTGAGTCCTGGATCTATGGCCTCACCCGAGTCCTGGATCTATGGCCTCACCCGAGTCCTGGATCTATGGCCTCACCCGAGTCCTGGATCTATGGCCTCACCCGAGTCCTGGATCTATGGCCTCACCCGAGTCCTGGATCTATGGCCTCACCCGAGTCCTGGATCTATGGCCTCACCCGAGTCCTGGATCTATGGCCTCACCCGAGTCCTGGATCTATGGCCTCACCCGAGTCCTGGATCTATGGCCTCACCCGAGTCCTGGATCTATGGCCTCACCCGAGTCCTGGATCTATGGCCTCACCCGAGTCCTGGATCTATGGCCTCACCCGAGTCCTGGATCTATGGCCTCACCCGAGTCCTGGATCTATGGCCTCACCCGAGTCCTGGATCTATGGCCTCACCCGAGTCCTGGATCTATGGCCTCACCCGAGTCCTGGATCTATGGCCTCACCCGAGTCCTGGATCTATGGCCTCACCCGAGTCCTGGATCTATGGCCTCACCCGAGTCCTGGATCTATGGCCTCACCCGAGTCCTGGATCTATGGCCTCACCCGAGTCCTGGATCTATGGACTATGGCCTCACCCGAGTCCTGGATCTATGGCCTCACCCGAGTCCTGGATCTATGGCCTCACCCGAGTCCTGGATCTATGGCCTCACCCGAGTCCTGGATCTATGGCCTCACCCGAGTCCTGGATCTATGGCCTCACCCGAGTCCTGGATCTATGGGCCTCACCCGAGTCCTGGATCTATGGCCTCACCCGAGTCCTGGATCTATGGCCTCACCCGAGTCCTGGATCTATGGCCTCACCCGAGTCCTGGATCTATGGCCTCACCCGAGTCCTGGATCTATGGCCTCACCCGAGTCCTGGATCTATGGCCTCACCCGAGTCCTGGATCTATGGCCTCACCCGAGTCCTGGATCTATGGCCTCACCCGAGTCCTGGGATCTATGGCCTCACCCGAGTCCTGGATCTATGGCCTCACCCGAGTCCTGGATCTATGGCCTCTAAGCAGCAGATGACCAATGTCCAGAAATGTTGATAAAATCCATAGATGTTGTTGAATGCCGAGTGTCCTGAATGGATAGATAGATAGATGATAGATACTTTATTGATTCCGTAGGATGAATTTATGTGTCCAGTAGCAGCAAAAATAAAAAATAAAAAATTACCACTGTCCTAGGACCCTCCTGCACTCTAAAACTTCTGACATTATTTTCTTTTTACATTATTTTGACCATTTTGGTGAAATTAGATGATTCAAAGGCCAACAAAACAACATCACAAGGCACATTATCATCACACGGACACCGGTTGAAAAACATTGCTGTATAGATAGACCAGGGGTCGGGAACCCGCGGCTCTTTCATCCTTATACTGCGGCTCTGAGTGGCTTGGGGAAAAAAAACAAAAAAACACGTGTTTAATTGAAGGGTATTTTATTTGTGTTAGTTCTTTAATATTTTAGTTCTAAATAGGAAGATTATTGTGATCTTGACATATTAGAATAAATATATTTTATTGTTTTTTTGTCGCTCAAAAGAAACGTCATACTCGCGAAAGCCGGTATACCCGCCAAAACGCCGTCCACCTGTCGCAACTTTCAACCCCAGCAAGGCCAAGTATGGAGAAATGTAAGAAAAGAAAAATATCTGAAGAAAATAGAACATTCAATGATGCCTGGGCAGATTCATTTGCGTTTACCTCTGATGAGAGCGGCCTACCAGTATGCCTAATTTGCGGAGAAAAACTGTCTAACAACAAACGGTCAAATGTCGCAAGACATTTCAACAATACACACAGAGCCTTTGCTGAAAAATATTCAGAAGGAGAAGAGAGAAAAAAAGCGGTTTCGGAACTGATGCGGAAGGCTGATCTGACGAGAAATCACTTCAAGAAGTGGGTGAAGTCTGCAAATTCAATTACATATGCAAGTTTTGTGGCCGCTCAGGAAATAGTCAGGCATGGGAAACCGTTCACAGATGGAGATTATATAAAACAATCATTCCTTAATATTTCAGAACACCTATTCGCGGACTTTAAAAACAAGCATAAAATTGTGCAGAAAATCAGAGAGATGCCGCTCTCTGCGAGGACAGTCAAAGACAGAACCATAAAAATGGCAGAAAATGTCACAAAACAGCAGATTAAAGACATAAATTCAGCTGCAGCGTACTCAATCGCCTGTGATGAGTCCAAAGACAAAAGTGACATTGAACAAATAGCGCTGTTCTGCCGATATGTGAACTCTGCTGGACCGCAGGAAGAAATGGTTGAGCTGATACCACTAAAAGGCCAGACACGGGGGGAGGACATCTGTGAGGCCGTGCTTGATTGTTTACGAGCCAAAGAAATAAAAACAACCCACCTAGTGTCAGTGGCTACTGATGGGGCACCGAGTATGACTGGAGCGCACAAGGGCTTTGTGGCCTTGCTGCAGAAGTCACTGGATAGACAGCTGCTCACTTTTCACTGCATCCTGCACCAAGAGGCACTGTGCGCGCAAACTTTTCCTCCAGAATGGTCATGAATCTTGTCATTCAGATTGTCAATAAAATAATGGCAAAAGGTTTAAATCACCGCCAGTTCCGTTTGCTACTGGATGAGGTGGACAGCACATACTCTGATCTCATGCTGCACAACCGAGTCCGGTGGCTGTCCAGAGGAGAGGTGCTGAAACGTTTTGCTGCATGTCTGGGAGAGGTGAAGACTTTCATGAGCAGCAAAGGGCTCACCTTTCCTGAGCTGGAACAGCCAGAGTGGCTGGAAAAGCTGCACTTCATGGTGGACATGACAGCGAACCTGAACACGCTAAACACAACCCTTCAGGGTGTTAGTATTAGATAGCAATATGGCCTACGTGCAGGACTGTACAAGGACTCTACAAGGACTCCATGTTATGACTATGATTTGACTGTCTCTTTGTGACACGTATGTCTTTCGATGTGTGACGTGACAATG